AAGAGCGATACAGCGAGAGAGGGAACACAAGCAGGAGGAGTGGGAGAGGGAGAAGCAGGCTTCCCGTAGAGCAGGGAGCCCAATGTGGGGCTCGATCCCAGGACCCTGGGATCATGACCTGAGCCGAGGGCAGACGCTTAACGACTGAGCCACCCAGGCGCCCCTATTTATCAGTCTTTAGAATAATGAATGGATGTCTACAATGGCAACCATAAATTATCTTGAAAACAAATATAATATTTAAAATTCATCATTTCCTAGTTATATTATTAACGTACTATTAGTATCTGTGCTCTTGATTGTGTGTATTGTATCTGTATAGTGGAAATACTGTATAATGCTGTACTGCTGCACATCTTTTCCCAACCCTACTTCAATACTGTTATGTTGGTACTTTGGTATTGATGGTAGGGATATTTAATACCATGGAGATGGGGAAAAACTACAAATCAGGGCCTTTTGGTGGGGCAGGGCATCAGGGGAGTCAGTCGTTAAACATTAACGAGCACATGACTTGATTTAATTTCCTGATGTCTTTAATTTCGTTTCAAATACCTCTTTTTAAAATTGTGCTCTTTGTCTTCTTTTCATTGAGTTGAGAGAAGTCTTTGTATATTTGAGATATAAGTCCTTTATCTGATACATGTTCTGCAAATATTTTCTCATAGTTTGTGGCTTAGTTTGCATGTTCTTTTTTCTTTTTTTTTCTTTTTTAACTATACGCCCAGTGTGGGGCTCAAATTCATGACCCTGAGATCAAAAGTCACATACTCTACCTTCTGAGCCAGCCAGGCACCCCCTTGTCTTGCACTTTTGTTAATTAGTGTCTTTTGAAGGTCAGAAATTTTTAATTTTGATGAAGTCCAGTTTATCTTTTTTTGTTACCACTCATGATTTTGGTGTCATGTCTAAGTAATCTTTGCCTAATGAAGGTTATGGTGTTCTCTTTGAAGAATTAGTTTTAGTTCTTGCATTTGAGTTAATTTTTCTGTAGAGTATGAGGTAAAGGTCTAAATTCTTTTGTGCATATTGTTACGGTGTTGTCCCAGCACCATTTGTTGAAAAGATTATTCTTTCCCTATTGAATTGCCTTGGCAATGTTAATTGAAAGTCAATTGATCATAAATGTAATAGTTTATTTCTGTACTCTAAATTCTGGCCCCTTTATCTGTTTGTCAATCCTGTGTCACTTTCACACTGTCTTGATTATTAACAGTTTTGTGGTCAGTTTTGAAATTGTGAGGAGCGAATCCAGTTCTGTTCTTTTTCAAAATAAGTTTTAGCTATTCTGGGTTCTTTTTTTTTTTTTTTTTTTTTTTTTTAAGATTTTACTTACTTTTTTGACAGAGCACAAGCAGAGGAAGAAGCAGGCTCCCCCACAGAGCAGGGAGCCCGATGCGGGGCTCAATCCCAGGACCCTGGGATCATGACCTGAGCTGAAGGCAGATGCCCAACCGACTGAGCAACCCAGGCGCCCATATTCTGGGTTATTTGCATGTTTATTTTAGTTTTCAAATAGTTCACGAAAATGAGAAAGATAAAGCCCTATGACCAAATCTTAAATATATTATTAAATAAAAATCAGTTATATAGGGGTGCCCAGCTGGTTCAGTCTGGAGTATGCAGCTCTTGATCTTGGGGTTGTAGGTTCAAACCACACATTAGGTGTAGAGATTACTTAAAAAAATAAAAATCTTAAAATAAAAAAAATCAGTTGTATAGAAGGTATGCAAGGATAATGTAATATCTGAAAATATTTGCATTAACTGAATAAAGGAGAACTAGGTACGGAAAACCCATTTGAGATAACGTCATAATCACCTCATATTTCTTTAACTAGACATGGAAAAGAATGTTGTTAATCTGGTAAAATGCATCCATCCAGTAAATTACTAAAATCAAGAGCATTCAAGGATAGCAGGTCTCACTCCCACTGTACAGTACACAACATTGCACAATTTACAAGGAAGTCCTAACACTGTAAAATAATAAAAGTAGGTTTAGGGGAGTAGTACTTAGTTTTAGTATAATTTTTGCAGGTGATATAATCATCTCCACAGAAAGTTAAGGGAATTTAGAAGTTTTTAGAATAGAATTAAAGAAGGTTGTTATTAATTAATAGTATGCATATCAGCAATAATTATTTCGAAAATAAGATGCTTCCAATAGCTACAAAACTAAAATGCCTAGGATTTAATGTAACACTTCCTTTAAGGCCATTATGGGCAAAATTATGAAACATAGGACTGAATAAATACATATTTAACTGTATTCATGGGTGTCATGTGTAATATGTACATGTTAAAATATAAGTTCTTGCCCAACTTAACCTATATTTCTTATATTACTTTCTTTTTTTTAAGATTTTATTTATTCATTTGACAGAGAGACAGCAAGAGAGGGAACACAAGCGGGGAGTGGGAGGGGGAGAAGCAGGCTTCCCTCTGAGCAGGGAGCCGGATGTGGGGCTCGATCCCAGGACCCTGGGATCATTACCCCAGCCAAAGGCAGACACTGAGCTACCCAGGCGCCCCTCTTATATGATTTTCTAATTAAAACCCCAATATGACTCTTTAAAGAACTATGACAGGCAGTTTTAAAAATTTATATGGAAGAGTAAAGGGCCAAGAGCCAAGACAGTTTTCAAGAACAACAGAATATTCCATACCATATATTAAGACGCAATTTAAAGGTCACAATAATCAAGGCTAGAATTAGCATATGATAAGATAAATGAACCAGTGGTTTGGCAAATTCAGAAAGCCAACCAAACTTGTGGGGAAAATCAGTAAATGACAGAAATGGCAATTCAAACTAGAGAGGGAGAATTCTTGTTATTCAAATACATGATGCTGGGACATTTCTAATCAACAGCTGGGAGACCTCATATCATACTCCGTAACAAATTCTAGATAGATTAATTGGTCAAAACCTAAATATTAAAAGCAAAACTTTTTAAACATAGGAATATATATGTATGATTTTTAGAACAGCAAAAGAATTCTTAAGGTACAAAATTAAATGAATAGATTGATAGATTTTATTACATTAAAGACTTGTATAAAAACATGATACCATGAACAGAGATTAGAGACAAATCACAGAAATATGTGCAACACATAATAGAAAGTGTTTATTACATACACATAACCAAAAGTCAGCAAGAAAAATGGACAACTTGAGCAGGCAGTTACCAGTAAAGAAGTGGCCAGTTAACAAAGATGCTTCAACATCCAAAGAAATTGGAGTAATGCCATTCAAAACCAGTAGAGATTTCATTCCATAGCTATCATTGACAAAAATGTAAAAGACCACATATTAGCGGTGAGGGGTGTGTATGAAGATAAATTTTCATGGTATCTTGCTTCCCAGTTTTTAAACTAACCATGATTGGGCTTTTTATTTTTTTTAACATCTCAGAATGTAATTTCACATTGGTGCTCTATACCTGTGTATCTTAAATTCAGCAGAAGTGATTTTGATTAGCAAACTGATATTTGTCTGTTTCTTAGAGGCCTGTTTTCATTGTAATAAGAGGAGTATACTTTACTTTCTCACTTTTGCTATGTTGAATATTGATTAAGGAATAAAGGGTCCCACATTTCTGTGGGTTTTTAGGCTTTGGACAGATGACTCTATAACGACATATTGGACATCTCCTTTAAGATTCCTTTTTATGTTTGTATAATTTTTTAAAAATAAATATTTGTTTATATATTTTTCTCTTAGATCAAATGAATGCCTCAGGACCGATTAAAGAGAAGATGGGGATTTTCAAGATACTAGAAAATTCAGAGGATTCCAGTCCTGAATGTGTGTTTTAAAGTGGAGCTAAAGACTGTCTTTTAAAAGTTCTTGTTTACGTCTAGTGATTTACCTGTATTGGTTTTAAAATTCAGATTATCCACTTTTTTGATCCTATCCGTTTACATAATGAAACTTGTACCATTGCATAATTAATATATGATAATTTTCTGAGCCTTATAAGAACAAAGAAGTATTCATAGTAAGTTTAGATTTTCCGTTAATTTTTCAGGCTCGGTAATATTCTTGGGTACAGGCTGATGTGTACTTAACCACTGCCAGATTTATTCAGTCTTCCTGTGGAAGTTTAATGTCTTTTTCCCCCCTTTTAGCAGTACAGTTCATGGGTTTGGGGTACTTCAGTTATGGAGTAGGCTTTGATGGGGGAAAGATTAGGATTATGCTTTCTCTTGTTTAAATAAGAAATTGTTTGATTTTAAGGTCTATTTCTATAAAATAGTTTACCAAATAAATGTTTGTTATAAGATGTTCTCATCAAATTATTTTTTCAGAAAAATAATGGCTCAGGTGAAATAATAACGAAAGTCTTGACTGCCATTGTGATTCAACATTATGTTGACTTGATTTTATTTGTTAGTACTCTACACATATATCATATAAAGATTTCAACTGGACAGTGGGTAATTCAGAGCAGACTTTGAAAACTGTAGGGTCTTGACAAAAGACCAGAAATTGGAAGTGGTAGGAGGATATCATGCAAAACAAGGGTAGAACAAGAAAGAAGAGACCTTGAAAATGTATAGTAGGAGGGGTAAATAGTACTGAGAGAGGAAAATAGGATGTAGGAATGTAAGATAAAATTCAGGGGCGCCTGGGTGGCTCAGTAGTTAAGCATCTGCCTTCGGCTCAGGTCATGATCCCAGGGTCTTGGCATCGAGCCCCACATCGGGCTCTCTGCTCAGCAGGAAGCCTGATTCTCCCTCTCCCACTGCCCCTGCTTGTGTTCCCTCTCTCTCGCTGTGTCTCTCTCTGTCAAATGAAGCAATAAAAAATTTTTAAAAATAAAATAAAATTCATAGTATATGATAGAGGAACATAAAGGGCAAAATAGGAATAATTTGGGCCCTGTATATATATCAGACTGTGAGGAAGAGAGTTCCTTTTTTTTTTTTTTTTTAAGATTTTATTTATTTATTTGAGAGAGACAATGAGATAGAGCGAGCATGAGACGGGGGAGGGTCAGAGCTCGGAGAAGCAGACTCCCTGCTGAGCAGGGAGCTCGACTCAGTCCCGGGACTCCAGGATCATGACCTGAGCCGAAGGCAGTCACTCAACCGACTGAGCCACCCAGGTGCCCCTGGGAAGAGAGTTCCTGAATGCTCCCTGAACCATTTCTGTAGGTTGTTTGTCTCTTGGGAAAATGTTATATTCAATGCAGATCAGATTATCTCTGCCATAGGGTAATTGAGCTAGGATTCAGAAGGAAAACCATTTTGAGAGAATATTCAGTCTGATGAAAATACAGAGAGGTGTGTTTTTTCTTAAGTGGAAATATTCACCAGCCAGTCGTGCTGACCAAACATCCCTGTAACTTGGTTGCTTAGTAGTCCTACTGAGTTTCCCTAGTCTGTTCTATTATGTTCTCCAGTGACTATATCATGGTTTTACATCTGTAGTAACTCCTCCCTCTCACCTTGCTCCCTGTTGGCACTGAGAAAATAGAATTAGAAAAGAACTTGAAAAAGTTGCCAGGATGGCATCTATAAACCTCCCAGCATTTGTGCCCATGTAGCCTCCTTTCCTGTTACTATGGATATATTGTCCTAGTTAGAGCCAGCTAGAGCCAACAGAAGTACCCCATTTCTTTCTCTTGTGGAAAACTCCTTGGAAAGTTGTCTGTATTCACTTTTTTTGTTGTTCTCTTCCATTGTTTTCTGAACCTGTTCCAGTCATCCCTCTCTTTCCATTGGAACATTTTTTTTTTTCAAGATTTTTATTTATTTTTTGACAGAGACAGCGAGAGAGGGAACACAAGCAGAGAGAGTCGGAGAGGGAGAAGCAGGCTTCCCTGCCGAGCAAGGAACCTGATGTGGGGCTCGATCCCAGGACTCTGGGATCATGACCTGAGCCGAAGGCAGACACTTAATGACTGAGCCACCCAGGTGCCCCTCCACTAAGCAATTTCTTTAGTTTGCTAGTTTCTAGCAAACACATCGCCTGGTTTTCCTTCCTACTTCTCTGGTTCTTAGTCCTCTTAGCTATTTCTTATGTCTTTGACCCATTAGAATGTCCCAAGCAAGGCTTGGGGCTCCCTTGATGGTCTTACCTCCTTGCCTTATATAGATGACTCAAAGTTATATCTCTAGCCAGAATCTTTCTCCTGAACTCACATCCGGCTACTTGACATTCTTACTTGGTTGCCTGATGAGTCACTCAAACTTCCCAAATGTGAGCTTAAGAACTCGTGCTCCAGCCCGTTGAGACTGTTAGAACCCATGAATTTAATTTTCAGCTTCCAAAACTTGTGGTGCCATCTCTTCTCTTCTGGGAGTTTAATACCTCTCTCATCCTTTTATGTTCTTTTAGTTCTAGATTTTAGTAAGGGGCAGAAGGGAACAAATATTCTAATTCTGTGATACTGAAGCGAATACTCCCTGCTTCTGTTTTTATATAAAAGAGTATTCTCAACACAGTACTTGAATTCCTTCAGTTGGACAAATTTGTCATGAAAAAGACTTTATTAGCTTTTTTTGTTCATTGAGTCTTCCATATCACTAGACAGTTCCTAATGTGTTGAGAGGTGTAGTGAAAGTGGTACACGAACATTTCTTAAAAATTGATGTATTTATGGGGTGCCTGGGTGGCTCAGCTGGTTGTGACTCCCTTCAGCTCAGGTCATGATCCTGGAGTCCCAGGATCGAGTGCCGCATCGGGCTCCCTGCTCGGCAGGGAGTCTGCTTCTCCCTCTGACCCTCCCCCCTCTCATGTGCTGTCTCTCTCTCTCTCATTCTCTTGGAGAGAAAGAGACCAGTGGGGAGGGGCAGAGGGGAAGGGAGAGAGAATCCCAAGCAGACTCCTTGCTGATCACAGCCCCGGAGGTGGGGCTCAGTCTCATAATCCTGAGATTGTGACCCAAGCAGAAGCCAAGAGTCAGATGCTTAATGGACTGTGCCAGCCAGGCTCCCTGGAACTTGAACATTTCTAAGCAAATGTGTTTGATGGCATCTTTCACTAATGTCTTAGCAGTTATATATGATTTTTTAGTCTTAGTGGTTTGAAGTAATACTTTACGAGAAGACTGTTTCAATTTGAGCTTCTTTTTAAATTAATGGTAGTTAAGTTTTTATGATCCTATTTGCTGTATTAGCTAGTACATCTCCACAAATTACATACTATATTTTTTACTTCACCATCAATTATGGTTACCAAATTAAGCCAAGGAATCATAGTTAAGGATACAAATTTATTAAATCTCTTTTGCTCTTTAGTTTTTTGGAATCACTTATTGTCATGACTTGATTTACTACCATTACCATTACATTCAGAGAAGATGTAACTTAACCAAAATCTAGTGAAGTTTGGAGCACCTGGGTGGCTCAGTCGGTTAAGCGTCCAACTCTTGGTTTCAGGTCAGGTCATGACGCTGGGGTCCTGGGATCGAGCCCCATGTTGGCTCCCTGCTCAGCAAGGAGTCTGCTTTTCCCTCTCCCTCTGCACCCCCACTCATGTTCTTTCTCTCTAAAATAAATGAATAAAATCTTTAAAATATTTTTTTTTAAAAACTCGAATTCCTGAGCTATGTCTGCGAGTCTGTTATGAGAAACACAGTCCTAAAGCGTAAATTGTCCATAATTTTTCCTAATCTCCCTTTCACAAATCTGTGCCCTACCCAGATCAATCAACAGATTGACCCCCCAAGTCACACTTCTGAGTCTTCTGTTTGTTTATTCCTGAGTCTTGTTACTTCATATCCATCACTGGCTTGGTTAAATATCACCATTTGAAGAGAGGTCTCTTAGGGGTCTGTGGGGGGGTGGGGGATTACGTGAGCTGCTCCACTTCACTAGAGTATTTAAGAACATTTATAAAGTATGCCTGCCTCTCTTCATGCTCAGTACTCTGCCACCACCTACCCAACTAAGGTGGTCAGATTCAGGTTTCATTCCTTTTTTAGCTTTAATAAGTTCTTTAATGAAATGTAAAAGTAGCATAGTCACTAAGGGACAGAGATCAGGTAGACTGCATATATCTTATTTTAACAAAAGGAAGACCATAAAATTGTCAATGCGTTGAAGGAAAAAAATTCCAACCTAAAATTTAAAGTTGTTTTTTTAAGATTTTTATTTATTTTTTTGACCAAGAGATAGCACAAGTAGGCAGAGAGGCAGGCAGAGGGAGAGGGAGAAGCAGGCTCCCCGCTGAGCTGGGAGCCCGATGCAGGGCTCGATCCTAGGACTCTGGGATCACGACCTGAGCCGAAGGCAGCCACTTAACCCACTGAGCCACCCAGGCGCCCCCAACCTAAAATTTATATCCATCATTGGCCATCCCTGGAGATTCACACATAACATTCAGCTGATTCAGTAGGCGGTTAAAACTCCTATAGATGAAGAATAGAGGAGGGCACCTGGGTGGCTCAGTTAAGCATGGTTCTCTTGCTCTCAGTTCCGGTCATCTCAGGGTCCTGAGTTCAAGCCCCACGCTGGGCATGGAGCCTCCTTAAAAAAGAATAGAGGAGTGATGTAATTTTAAATGTCGCACAGATGTTATTAGCAGGTGACCTTATAACAATTAAAATTAACCATTTTGGACTACAAACGATTCTCACCCTTTAAAAAAGTTACTGTAATATAAATCATTTCCTGTAGTCCCATTTCAGGATAATTACAAAGTGTGAACTAAATTATAGAACAATTGCTTGGAAATTTTGTAACTCCTAAATCTTTGGATCAAAGAAGGCACCCAAGACAGTATTGCACAATAATTTTAAAATACAAACAATGGATGTACTCACTGGGTAGAATAGAGCTAAAATTCACTGCAGAAATAATGTGCCATCTAATACTTAAGAGCATTTATGACAAGCGTGTGAAAATGAACAATAATATAACTTCAAAAGTTAGAAATCGAAAAGGAAAACAGTTAAATTTTGGCATAAAATATCTTAGGGCTCTGAAAATCTGAATTTTTTTTTTTTTTTAAAGATTTTATTTATTTGCGAGAGAAAGAATGAGAGACAGAGAGCATGAGAGGGAGGAGGGTCAGAGGGAGAAGCAGACTCCCTGCTGAGCAGGGAGCCCGATGCGGGACTCGATCCAGGGACTCCAGGATCATGACCTGAGCTGAAGGTAGTCGCTTAACCAACTGAGCCACCCAGGCGCCCTGAAAATCTGAATTTTTGATAGAAAAATGTAAGAACTCCTAGGGTTATTTTTCTTCTCTGGATGCCCAGTGAATTCTTTGAGCTCTGCAGAAAGTTCCCCTGCGTAGTTTAAAATCCTGGTGGAAAAGGACACATTCCTGGGAGGTTCAGGGGTCATGTGGACCAAACAAACTCATTTTCTGAGAAGGACGCTCTAGTTTTGGCCAGAGGAGGGACTTGGTGTTCTCTGAACCTGTGAACTTGCCCTGCTGGGGCGCTTGGATGGGTCAGATCTGATAACACTAGCCTGGGAGGCTGGTGCTCCTGTCACTTCAACCCTTGGTCCGCAGAGGTCACATCAATGTTCTGTTTGCCTGTCTTTTCCAAAGTGGGTGTAACTTACATTCTCCCCAGCAGAGTATGAGAGTTCTAATTTCTTTTAGGATTTTTAAATTTTTAATTATTTGACAGCACAAGCAGGGGGAGCAGGAGAGAGAGAAGCAGGCTCCCAGCTTGAACAAGGAGCCCAATGCCATGTGGGGCTTGATCTCATGGTGCTGAGACCATGACCTGAGCAGAAACCAAGAGTTGGACACTCAACCAAGGAACCACCCAGGAGCCCCTCTAAAGCACATTTTAAAAAAAGATTTTATTTATGAGAGAGAACACAAGCCAGGGGAAGGATAAAAGGGAGAAACAGACTCTCCTCTGAGCAGGGAACCCCACGTGGGAATGGATCAAAGGACCCCAGGATCGTGACCTGAGCTGAAGGCAGACACTTAACCAACTGAGCCACCCAGATACCCCTAAACCACATTTTTTATTAAGAACCAGGACTCTGGAGAAATGGCAGATTGGAGAGTAGAGCAGGAGAAGTAGGAGATGAGACTGGAATATATTACTACAGTTAGAAAATTAAGAAATTGCTCAAAGGTTGATGGAATTATGTAAAAAGAGCAAAGAATCCCATCATTAGACAATTTGAAAAACAATAATATAATGGATTGTAACCTGTGAAAGTAATTGAATGCCTGATTCCATAATAAATAAATACCATTGAAAACTTGAATAGTTATTTAGTTTCAAAGAGTCTACCCTCAAAATATTTAATTACAAATGCTGTTAAGGGGCACCTGGGTGGCTCAGTCAATTAAGCATCTGCCTTCAGCTCAGGTCATGATCTTGAGGTCCTGGGATCGAGCCCTACATGGGGCTTCCTGCTCAGCAGGGAGTCTGCTTCTCCCTCTCCCTCTGTCCCTTCTCCCCTGCTTGGGCACTCTCAAATACATAAAATCTTTTTTAAAAATAAAAATAAATATATATAGGGGCGCCTGGGTGGCTCAGTTGGTTGGGCGGCTGCCTTCGGCTCAGGTCATGATCCTGGAGTCCCTGGATCGAGTCCCACATCGGGCTCCCTGCTCGGCGGGGAGTCTGCTTCTCCCTCTGACCCTCCCCCCTCTCATGTGCTCTCTCATTCTCTCTCAAATAAATAAAATCTTTAAAAAAATATATATATATATATATATAATTTTATGGTGGAAGAGACTGCCAGGCACTCTTAAGTAATCAAAGTGAACACCCATAATGGGCAGATTGAAGTTGTCATCTACTAGGATTCAATGAGAAGAAAAAGCATTCTGTGATATTCCTGTCAAAGATGCATAACCTCGGGGCGCCTGGCTGGCTCAGTTGGTGGAGCGTGGGACTCGATCTCAGGGTTGTAGCCTCAAGTTGGGGGTAGAGATTACTTGAAATCTTTGAGGGGTGGGGGAAGATATACATAACCTGAATCTAATCATGAGGAAATACCAGACCCAAATTGAGATTTTACAAATACCCAGCATATATCTTCAAGGGTCATGGAAGTCAAGGGAAGGCTGAGGAACTATTCCAGACTGAAATAGATTAAGGAGACATGACAACTTCTTGCAACATGTGATAATAGGTTCTGAACTGAATATAAAGGATGTCATGGGGACTTTTGGTGAAACATTAATAGAATGAGGATTGTGTGGTCCTAATGCATTAATTTTAGTTTCCTGCTTTTGAAAATTATATTATGGTTATAGGGGAGAATTGCATTGTTTTTAGGAAATACCAAAATATTTTGGTTTTGGAACTTAAGGTCAGCGATTTACTCTCAAATGTTCAAAATAAGGAAATTCTTTGTACAGACTTTGGACTTTTATGTACACTTAGGATTATTAAAAGTAAAATACATGAATATATATCTATGAAGCCAGCAATGGGCTCATATCTAAACTACAAACCCTTCACAAAGAAGAATTGATATTGTCAATGGACATCTGAAAAAGCGCTCAGCATCATGAAGTGTAATGGAAACGTGAATTAAAACTACAGTGAGCTGGGCGCCTGTGTGGCTCAGTCGTTGAGTGTCTGCCTTCGGCCCAGGTCATGGTCCCGGGGTCCTGGGATTGAGTCCCACATCGGGCTCCCAGCTCAGAGGGATGCCTGCTTCTCCCTCTCCCACTCCCCCGGTTTATGTCCCCTCTCTCACTGTGTCTCTCTCTGTCGAATAAATGAATAAAATCTTTAAAAGAAAAAAACAAAACTACAGTGAGCTATTACATATCTGTCAGAATGGTTAAAATGAAAAACTGAATATACTTAGTGTTGGCAAGAATGTAGAGTAACTGGCAATTCATAGTAAAACTTTTCAAACATTTGGATAATTATTTGGCAGTATTTACTATAAGAAAACACCTGCATCTCCAGCAATTATATATACTGAACAGAAAACCAATACATTGGGATACAAAAAAGCCATCTATAGGAAATTAATAATACTATTCATAGTAGTCTCAAACTAGAATCAACCCACATGTCCATCACAATATGATGGAAAAAAATAGTGGAATAGTTATAAAATAAGACACTATAAGAAAACGTGCTATTTGCAACAATATGAAGTGAAAATACTAAATGTATAATTTAGTTTATATAAAGTTCACAAACAGGCAACACTAACATTTGATGTGATACTGGATACATTTAGTGAGGAGGAAGATTCTCAGTAGGAGGCATAATGGGGTTTCTGCAGTCCTGGCAAAATTTTTCTTGGCCTGTGTGTTGGTTTCACAGTATATGTTTAGATGATAACTCACTGAGCAGAACTTTTAGGACTTTAGGTATATTATGCTTCAATGAAAGGTTTCTTTAACCGAGGTCTGTAGTACTCTCACTGTGGAAGGCCACATGCTGATACCCTGCTGACCACCCATTTGGGCAGCGATGGGAAATCCCTTCACTGTGCAAGGTTACCGAACTGGGAATGGGAAAGCTGGATTCTAAGACAAGGTCTTGTACTTGATGAGTTGATGGCACTTCACCTCACCAAGTCACCAATTCCTCACTCCAAAAATTAATTTAGGGATTCCACTAGGGATTTCTGATGACTTCTATCTTGAATCATTTGTCACTCTTCCATTTTCTAAGGAGAAAGGGCCAGGCAGGAGCCTCAGAAAGAGGGAGGAACAGAGCAGGGACACCTGTCTCCCAAGTAATAAAAATGATTGCTATAAAGAGAGCCATGGAGGGGTGCCTGGCTGGCTCAGTCAGTAGAGCGTGCAACTCTTGATCTCAGGGTCATCGGTTCTAGCCCCATGTTGGGCTCACATGGAACCTACTTAAAAACAAACAAAACAATCACGGAGTTCATTAGGTAGTGTGGCTCTTTTAGAACTAGAGCTATGAGCCAGGCAGCAAATTAATGCTTCTCTTTGTCCTTGGTAAATTACGAAGTTTCACCAAGACCTGGACTCAAGTTCTAAAGGTTACAGATCTTTTCTGACCCCATGCTTATAACTACCCTGTGCTGCCATTTTGAAAGTCACTGATGAAGGTAAGTCATAGAATGCTGAATCATACTCAGTAAGCATTCAATAAATGTGAAGAAACTTACTTGAACTGAATGTTTTTCTTGTAGGGAAGCATGCACCACTCAGGGCGTGTGGCTTCTGAGCTCTACCACCTGCAGTCTGTGTGTCCTTGGAAAAAGGTGCTACAGCCCCGAGACCCAGCTGCCTCATCCTTAAAATGGGAATAATTTTATCTTAGGTAAGGTAACTTCGTGTATCAAAAGAAAGATGATAGGTGTGAAAATTCCATAAATTGTCAATATCCCTGTAATCATGAGGAATAAAACACTAACTGAGGTCTTGATAAAACTTAATTTTCTTTTTCTTTTTTTTTTTTTTTTTAAGATTTTATTTATTTAACAGAGAGAGACACAGCGAGAGCAGGAACACAAGCAGGGGGAGTGGGAGAGGGAGAAGCAAGCTTCCCGCAGAGCGGGAAGCCCGATGTGGGACTCGATCCCAGGACCCTGGGATCATGACCTGAGCCGAAGGCAGACGCTTAACGACTGAGCCACCCAGGCGCCCAAAACTTAATTTTCTTTAGTAAAAGAGCTGAGACATAACTGTACTGATCAATTTAGAGAACATCCCTTTGTACAAGCATTACCATTAGTGATCTGATAAAGTATATTTATCATTCCAGTGATACCTAGATCCTCATGAACACTGAATGTCATCTGTTCATGTCAGCATGTGGTGGTGGTTCGTTAGGTCTTTTTTTTTTTTTAAGATTTTATTTTTAAGTAATTTCTACACCCTATGTGGGGTTCAAACTCACAACCCTGAGATCAAGAGTCACATGCTCCTCCCACTGAGCCAACCAGGTGTCCCAGTCCTGTGGGTCTATTTAATGAATTCCCTGCATCCCATTCTCCACTGAATCTACACCTTTTGTTTTAAAATCTTGCCTTCTTTGCTGTGCATACTTCATTCCATTATTTTTGACAGTGGCAGGCCAAAAAAAAAACCAACAGAAGAAGTTATGTCTGGAGGTCATTGCGAGGTGGGGGAAACCATATTTTCTCAAGTCTTGCCCCCTCAATTCTGAGATTGGCTCTTTTCTCTATTGAGCAAGTTTCACCTCTGCAGTGATGGAGAGGAAAGAATCCCTATCTTTTATTTTTTTCTTTTGAGAACCCATGGCTCTTTTATCCTTGGAATCAAATAAAGACTTCTACTTAGTGAAGCCTGTTATTTTGTGAACAGTCAGTGAGGTATACATACTGAGGAACTAATGTTTGGGGGTTCAATTTTGTTTTCCTATAATTGTGGTGTAAGCCATAGTGCATCATTATGGGCCTCAAAAGATCTAGGTTCAAATCCCATTTTTGTCGCTTAAAAGCTGTGCAACGCTGGATGGACCTCCTGTTGCCTCCAAATTTCCCTTTCTCCACTTGTAAAATCAATTTCATTTTCCTTGTGTTGGGGGGTGTGGGCACAAGGGCTTGATGGTAAATATATGTAAATTTTCTTAGCTAATTACTTGATACATATTTGGATGTTCAAGGGTTATGTTACCTAGTTTATATTTGATGTTAGTACATTACACTAAAATATTTCAAAAGGCTTTCATTTTCTAGGACAAAATATACTGGTGTTTGATAAAGCATTAAAGGATAGGGACGCCTGGGTGGCTCAGTCAGTTAAGCGGCTGCCTTCGGCCCGGGTCATGATCCCAGGGTCCTGGGATCGAGTCCCACATCGGGCTCCTTGCTCAGCAGGGAGCCTACCTCTCCCGCTCTCTCCCTGCTTGTGTTCTCTCTGTCAAATAAATTAAAAAAAAAAAAAAATCTTAAAAAAAAAAAAGTGGGTGCCTGGGTGGCTCAGTTGGTTAAGCGACTGCCTTCGGCTCAGGTCATGATCCTGGAGTCCCTGGATCGAGTCCCGCATCGGGCTCCCTGCTCCGCGGGGAGTCTGCTTCTCCCCCTGACCCTCCTCCCTCTCATGCTCTCTGTCTCTCATTCTCTCTGTCTCAAATAAATAAATAAAATCTTTAAGAAAAAAAAAAAAAGCATTAAAGGATAAACGTTTTTGTGTACAAGGATTTCCTCCCAAATCATAAATTCTCAACTGGTCATTACTCTGAGAATCCAGAATGTTTTGCAGTTTTTGTGATTAAGTAATTTACTTCACTGGTTCTCAATTGGTACCACCTAGAGTGTTTAAAAAAACAAAAAACAAAAACATTACCAGTGCCTGGGCTCCACCCCAGACCCGTTAGACCAGAATCTCGGGGCATAGTGTTAGACAGAAGCAAAAGAAGAGTAAAGAACACCATATTTTTATCATTATCAGTGGGCCAAAGTCCTTTCAAAAGAGCGATTAAAGTAAATCCAGCCGATTGATTACTTTATGAGTCAGAGGGACATGTTGAATTAGCAGGGAGTGTTATAAAAGCTTTAGATTTCAAGCTCACAGTTGTCCAAGAAGAGAATTCCTCCATGGATCCAGTTGTGGTTCTAGTGCTCTGTCTCTCCTTTTGGCTTCTCCTTTCACTTTGGAAACAGAGCTCTGGAAAGGGGAAGCTCCCACCTGGCCCCACTCCTCTCCCTTTCATTGGAAATATCCTCCAGGTAGATGTGAAGGACATCAGCAAATCCTTAAGCAATGTAAGTATGCTTTATGATTCTCTAGCAGTTTGCAAAGGGTATGTAGGTTAACCTCTACTTTTATTTATTTATTTATTTTTTAAGATTTTTATTTTTTATTTTATTTTGACAGAGAGAGACCCAGCAAGAGAGGGAGCACAAGCAGGGGGGAGTGGGAGAGGGAGAAGCAGGCTCTCCTCTGAGCAGGGAGCCCGATGCGGGGCTCGATCCCAGGACCCTGGGACCATGACCTGAGCCGAAGGCAGACGCTTAATGACTGAGCCACCCAGGCGCCCCAACCTCTACTTTTAAATAAAATATATTTATTAAAATTAATTATAATCTATTAAAAACATCAAGGTATGTCTGGAAAGCAAATACGACTTGTGAATTATTGTCAAGAATACTAGAACAAGGGGCACCTGGCTGGCTCAGTCAATATAGCATGCGACTCTTGATCTCAGGGTCATGAGTTTGAGCCGCACGTTGGGCATAGAGATTACTTTAAAAAAAAAAAAAAGAATAGTGGAATAAAATAACGTTTTCTATGAATAAAGAAACATTTAGGCTGTTCTGTGGTAGCATTAAAATAATAAAGTCCAGGGTGCCTGGGTGGCTCAGTTGGTTGAGTGTCTGATTCTTGGTTTTGGCTCAGGTCATGATTTCAGGGTCATGGGATCGAGCCCCTCATTGGGCTCCATGCTCAGCATGGAGTCAGCTTGAGAATCTCTCCATTCCCCTTCCCCACACTCACTCCCCATTCATGTGCTCACTCTCTCTCAAATAAAATCTTTAAATCTTAAAACAAATAATAATGAAGTGGCAAAAGCCAGGAATTCTGCTGCCTTTCTTTGTTTCACAGCCATTTGCTATGATTTCTGGCTGAAGGTAAATGGTAAGGGAGGTGTTTTGTGATTAGAGATTTCATTCGAGGAGTCATCTATTATGTAGTCTGTGTGTGTTGTTCAGAATAGCCATGAAAATTGAACTCTGAAGAAGCAAATTGTGCCTGATGTCAAGGAAATAACTGGGTTCAGAACTAACTTGAATGAATGCAAGAAATAAGAAATCATCAGGACCAGCTGGATGGTAACAGAATCCTCGGCTTCCACACAAAGCTGCTGTCTATACCCTGTGAATGCTGCAGGATAGAAGAAATTGTTCTTCCATGAGATGCTGCATGTCCTGGCACTGCCTTTGGTGTTAGTAATACCAGCAGATCTCAAAATGGAGGGGGCATTAGCACCATCTGGGGTGGGTTTTTTTAAAATATAGATTTCTAGTATCCATCATAAAGCTACTGAGTCAGAATCTCCAGGGGATGGGAGTACCTGGCTGGCTCAGTCAGTAGAGCTTGCGACTCTTGATCTTGGGGTTGTGAGTTCAAGCCCCACACTGGGTGTAGAGAATACTTAAAAATAAAATCCTTAAAAAAAAAAAAAAATCTCCAGGGGTTGAGCTTTACAGGTGATCCTGAAACAGCTGGGTCCTGGTCCCAAGGTAGGCACTGGAGACTCAGAAAAAATAGGTTGGCTAGGGCACCTGGGTGGCTCAGTTGGTTAAGCGACTGCCTTCGGCTCAGGTCATGATCCTGGAGTCCCAGGATCGAGTCCCGCATCGGGCTCCCTGCTCAGCGGGGGGTCTGCTTCTCCCTCTGACCCTCTTCACTCTCGTGCTGTCTCTCATTCTCTCTCTCAAATAAATAAATAAAATCTTAAAAAAAAAAAAAAAAAGACAGAGGAGGGTCTGAGGGGAGAGCACATATCCCTGAGCGAGAGAGAGGAGAGCAGGGCCAGAAGGGAGCAGGAGGGCAGAGAGAAGAGGCATGGCTGCACTTGATTAAGAACTGCCCGGCTCTCGGGGCGCCTGGGTGGCTCAGTCGGTTAAGCGACTGCCTTCGGCTCAGGTCATGATCCTGGAGTCCCTGGATTGAGTCCCGCATCGGGCTCCCTGCTCAGCAGGGGGTCTGCTTCTCCCTCTGCCCTCTTCCCTCTCGTGCTCTCTGTCTCTCATTCTCTCTCTCTCAAATAAATAAATAAAATCTTTAAAAAAAAAAATAGGTTGGCTAAGTGGGGTTGAAATTTGGATGTTCTATTCTTTGAACTTCAGTCTCTTTATCTGTACAACAGGGTAAATAAACCTAGCTCAAGGTGTTGATGTGTGATCATCAGTTGTAATAATCTGAGTACCCATCCCCCGGGCCATTGCCTGTCACAGCAGAGGCCCTCTGTGTGTGTCAGCTGTAACAATCTTATTTATATATAAGATCGAGAAATATTTGAAGCCATTTTGGGCAGAATAAAAACGTCGACAGTATGATGATGTTATCAGGCTTAACATGCACACACACACAAAATCATGCACAAAATACAAATTGCTAATATATGCATTTCCTTTGAATTTCTTAGCTCTCAAAAGCCTATGGCCCTGTATTCACTCTGTATCTTGGCACGAAGCCCACTGTTGTGCTGCATGGGTATGAAGCAGTGAAGGAAGCCCTGATTGATATGGGAGAAGAGTTTTCTGCAAGAGGAAGTTTCCCAATAGCTGAAAAACTTAATAAAGGACACGGTACGTGTACATGTACGCACGTTCAACACTGGTTATGGGGTTGGGAAGGATGGAGAACTGGAATTTGAAGAGCAACTCAGCAGAACTCGGCCCATTTGCAAGGCTGCCAAGGATGAGCTTCCTCCTCCTTGCCTAGGACCTCCCTCCCAGTTTCTGTTTCCTCTCTGGTAGGACTCCTTTTCACCAGTGGAAAGAGATGGAAGGAGTTACGGCGCTTCTCCCTCATGACCCTGCGGAATTTGGGGATGGGGAAGAGTGACCTTGAGAGCCGAGTTCAAGAGGAAGCCTGCCACCTTGTAGAAGAATTGAGAAAAACCAATGGTGGGTTATTCTATAGCTCTGACCTTGGCAGGCTATTCTCGCGTCTACTGATGTCCTTGGAAACATTTCGGCCCTCATGTGGACAGAGGGTGTGCAGCAGAAAGAGCCAAGGGAGCTTTTGTGTGTCTATGCTTGTTATGTGTCCTTTCATGACTGTGCCTACAATGTGGGTATAAAAGGTCATTTAATCCTTTTCTGTCCCAAATTTGTTTATTTCCACATCATTATGTCATGAAGGTACATTTGGGGACCCATTTTTTTCCGAGTTAGAGAACGGTATTTTTCCCGTAGTGTAAATGTGGGTTACCTATTTCAGAACTTGTCACCAGGGGATACTTGTCAAGTGGACACAGTGGAAATGACTTCATCACACCCTTATGGAGCACCTGTAACCAGTGACATGTGCTTTTTACTTAGTTGGTCTGTATGTGTTCGGTCAACTTCATTGATCTTTGGAGGGTTTCTTCCAAGGCCCATGTCTACATTTCTGGCCAGTAATGATACCTTTTTGTGGTTATAATTGCTTAGGCATCTTTAGTGCTGCCCTCATCAATTGGGATTTCCCTTTCAACAACTATTTTTTTAGAGTTTATTTAAATTCCAGTTAGTTAACACACAGTTTTTTTTTTTATTAGTTTCAAGTGTACAATATAATGATACATCACTCGGTGCTCATCACAAGTGCACTCCTTAATCCCTATCACCTACTTCACCCATCCACTCACCCACCTCACCTCTGGCAACTATCAGTTTGCTCTCTACAGTTAAGAGTCTGTTTCTTGGGTGCCTGGGTGGCTCAGTGGGTTAAGCCGTCCAACTCTTGGTTTCAGCTCAGGTCATGATCTCAGGGTTATGAGATTGAGCCCCGCATCAGGCTCTGCACTCAGCACAGAGTCTGCTTAAGATTCTCTGCCGCTCCTTCTCCCTCTGCCCTTTCCCTACTTGAGTGTGTGCTCTCTCTCTCAAATAAATAAATACAAATCTTTAAAAAAAAGTCTGTTTCTTGGCTTGTCTCTCTGTCTCTCTCTCGTTTTTTCCCTTTGCTCATTTGTTTTGTTTCTTAAATTCCACATATGAGTGAAATCATATGATATTTGTCTTTCTCTGACTGACTTATTTTGCTTAGCATAATACTCTCTAGCTCCATCCATTGTCATTGCAAATGGCAAGATTTCATTCTTTTTATGACTGAGTAATATTTCGTTTTGTGTGTATACATACACACACATACACACCACGTCTTTATCTGTTCATCTGTTGATGAATACTTGGGCTGCTTCCATAATTTGGCTATTGTAAATAATGCTGCTGTAAACATCAGAGTGCATGTATCCCTTTGAATTAGTGTTTTTGTATTCTTTGGGTGAATACCTAGTAGTGCAAATGCTGAATCATAGGGTAGTTCTGTTTTTTTTTAGGAAACTCCATACTATTTTCCAGAGTGGCTGCACCAGTGTAAACAACTATTTTAAAATGATCAGTTTGAGTTTTTTGATGTTGCTCCCTATTTACTCTAATACTGTTCAATATATGTTAAGAAATATATGCTATAGCATAATCCTGAGACTTACACAAATACCAGGTTATAAAATGATTTATTTAACTAGATTTCAGCTATCATTAAGAACTGTTTACCCTGCCTTCCTTATTATTTGGCTTTCAGCTTTCCTTATTTTACTCTCCTTTCTTGGTCTATTAATCATGTTTTACGTTTTCTCTATTTTGTGATGTTTTGACATCTTAGGGGCCTTGCAGAACCAGGGAGCAACCTCCTCTCCTAGGGGTACTATTTACTAGATACAGCAAACATCGCATCTTTAAGCTTGTCTTACATACCCCCAAGTTGCCTCCTTCACCAAATTCTCACACACCAAGCCAATACTCTCCCTGCTCTAAATGAACCCAGGGCAGTTACTGGACAACAGTCAACACCGCTATAGCCCATAGCCCTCTGCAACTATTCAAGCTCTCCAGCATACCTACCTAAATTTACTCAGCATACCTACCCTGCCTTGCTTGCTCCTTCCCATGAAAACCCTGGTAAAGGCTCTGGCACATGCTTTCCCCTTGTTCCTCCTGCCTCCTGACCTACCTTGGTCCTTCTCCATGTGGCCCTGTATGATGCACTTCTCCTCTTGGGAACTGTGAGTAACAAACTCTCTTTTCAATGGCTATCTTCCCTATCTATTGGCCTCATCATCTGAATAAAAACAGAATTCCATGTGCATTTTAAAACACAGCTGGATTTGGGGTTAGAACTTTTTTTTTTTTAAGATTTTATTTATTTATTTGTTAGAGAGAGAGCAAGCACACACAAGCAGGGGGAGCGGCAGGCAGAGGGAGAAGCAGACTCCCCGATGAGCAAGGAGCCCGATGTGGGACTCAGTCCCAGGACCCTGGGATCATGACCTGAGCTCAAGGCAGATACTTAACTGACTGCGCCACTCAGGAGGCCCAGGGTTAGAACTTTTATGGTAATTATGTAACCACCTCTGCCAGCTCTAGTGACCTATGAAGTGCATGTCACAATGAATTTGAATTTCAGTCTGGATTCCGAATTACCCTGCTTTTAAATTCTCTCAAAAGAAGTGAAAGATTAAAAACCAGATTTTAGCTGTGAATCTCACACACACACACACACACACACACACACACAGAAATCTCAAGGCCTTCCCAAATTATCCCCTACCTTCTAAAATAAGTTTTTCTGAAAGCTTAGTGGCCTCAAGTATTTCAACTGAAAAAGAGTCTGTGGGCACCTGGGTGGCTCAGTCAGTTAAGCGTCTGCCTTCAGCTCAGGTCATGGTCCCAGGGTCTTGGGATCTAGTCCCACATCGGGCTCCCTGTTCAGTGGGAAGCCTGCTTCTCCCTCTCCCTCTGCCTACTTGTGCATGCTCTCTCTGTCAAATAAATAAAAAATCTTAAAAAAAAAAAAAAAGAGTCTGGAATAGGAGCAGTTAACCAAACACGTTTCCCATTTTTTAATTCCCTCTCATTGTCTCCTCATTTTGGATTCTGGTCACCCTTAATTACATCAATGATGTGAATTTGGGAACCTTTTGCAGAGAAAGCTTATTGATCATTTGCTTATAGCAATTTCATTTAAATATTTCTCACTAAAAATTTTTTCCTCTGCTTTAATTTATCTGTAAAATGATAGAATTGACCTAAATGATAGTCCAGTTAAAAAATTTATAACTAGGGGCACCTGGGTGGCTCAGTTAAGCGTCTGCCTTCAGCTCAGGTCATGATCCCAGGGTCCTGGGATCGAGCCCCGCATCAGACTCCCTGCTCAGCAGGGAGCCTGCTTCTCCCTCTGCTGCTCCCCCTGCTGTGCTCTCGCTCCCCCTCTGTCAAATAAATAAATAAAATCTTTTTAAAAATTTTATAACTATGGTCTTCTGTGAATGGCTGTCTATAGAAATACTCCAGAATTCCACAAGAGGGCAGGCTGTCTAAGTAAATGTGAGGCCTGATTGGTGATGATGGACACTATTTCCTAGAGAAGAAAATTATTTTCTATATTGCAATAAAGAAATACAAGAACTCCATTTATTGCCTTTTCCTTTTTTTATATTTTAAGTAAGTTCCATGCCAAACGTGGGGCTTGATCTTATGACCCTGAGATAAGAGTTACATGCTCTACCTACTGAGCCAGCCAGGCACCCTAGAACTGTATTTAACAATTTAACCTTTTTCTTTGCCTTAGCTGGATTTAAGTTTGAAATGAAGATTTCTTATTTTACTTCTATCTTAGTCAAACAAATCTGTACTATAATTTTAATTCATTTATATTAGTTTTTCTTCTCATACAACATGGATAGCTTTTGCTTTTTTATGTTTGTTCCATCAAAATACCTGAATTTTCCCATCATCTTCCATCCTTTAATCTTTTCCTCTGCTGATTTTACACATAGTTCACTTCAAGTATTCATTGTCTAAAAAAGGTTTCCAGGTCCCTAGCTGTTTCTTCCTTCCTACAGGAGTGTACAAGCTTACCAGACAGGTGTGATTCTGCATTGATAACTTGAATTATTAGGTGCTTTTATTTATTTATTTTAATTATTCGTTTTAAGTAATCTCCATACCCACGGTGGGGCTTGAATACATGACTCCAAGATCAAGAGTCACGTGCTCGCTCCTCCTACTGAGCCAGTCAGGTGCCCCATTAGGTGTTTTTATTTATTTATTTATTTATTTTTATTTTTTAAAGATTTTATTTATTTATTTGAGAGAGAGAATGAGAGACAGAGAGCATGAGAGGGAGGAGGGTCAGAGGGAGAAGCAGACCCCCCGCCGAGCAGAGAGCCCGATGCGGGACTCGATCCTGGGACTCCAGGATCATGACCTGAGCCGAAGGCAGTCGCTTAACCAACTGAGCCACCCAGGCGCCCCCATTAGGTGTTTTTAAAAGTGGCTTCTTTAAAGTTTTTTCTTTTGCTCTTCAAAATAATAGTCACCTTGGGTCAGAATCAAGTAAACATAAGTAGTGATCTAGAGTATTTGGAAGACTATTACTAAACAAAACTAGGATGGAATGGACTTCCCATTTAAGGGAAAAGTGATGTGTTGATTTTAAGCATGCTGAAATTTTTGCTGGAAAGGGGATTCCTAGGTAACTATTGCTTTAGAGATTCTAAAATTACCTTTACCTATTATCAACAACAAAGATTTTTATATGTTTTTTTTAATGGTATTTTCTAAATCTTTCCTGTTCTTTAGCCTTACCCTGTGATCCCACTTTTGTCCTGGGCTGTGCTTCCTGCAATGTGATCTGCTCCGTTATTTTCCAGCATCGTTTTGATTATACAGATCAGACTTTAATTGGTTTCCTCAAGAGATTTAATGAAAACTTCAGGATTTTGAGCTCCCCATGGATCCATGTGAGTTCAAGATCCTCTCTTTTTTCTGACAAATCCAAATTCTGTATGGACCATGCTGTGAAGTGAATGAAAACTGGACATTTTGGATATTATAATGTGGTAACTGTGGAAATGAGCTTCTTCCCCCTCCTTGAGATTTGTTTTGTTTTGTTTGTTTTGCTTGCTATAGGTTTGTTTCCCTTTTTGCTTTCTATAGGCTATAGATGTTTGTTTATTTTGTGACTTTTCTGGACCGTGTTTGCTAAGTCTCTTCTTCTTTGTCATGTGTGGTCTCTGAAATCTCTGTCCTTTAACTTGTGTTTAGCTAGTGTTTTAATGGAGTTTTCCTTGAATGTGAGGAGCTGAAAAGAAGGGAGAGAAGGGGGGTGGGGGAAGAAAGAGAGAGGAGAGAGAAGGAGGGAGGGAGGGAGGAATGAATGAACGAACAAAAAACAAACGAACAAATGAACGAACTCTTCCAAATTTGGTTCTGGGCTGGGGCACTCCTTCAGTGCTTTCATCAGACTGTTTTCAGTTCTTTCTCAGTCTTGTTGCTTACGTTGAGCCAAGATCAGCCAGAGGTGAAAGCTAGGGTCTTCTGAGGTCTTTTTTTAGCCTATATCCTGCTTTCTAAATTTTAAAATGTGTAAATTCCTCAGTATACATGGGTACATTTGAACGCCCTAATTTCCAGAAGATACTCTCGCCCCAGCTTTTCTTCCCAGGATTCTGGTGCTCTATCATATGCCTTAACTAGTCTTTGCCCCAGGAGGCTGTGAGTTATTCATTTGCCTTACAGAGTTTTTGAGGCAGGCCTGCTGCTTTCCACCCTGCATTCCAGGTTAGATGAAACAAAGACAAGAGTCTGTGTCAGTCCTTCAGATTACCCCAGAGAAGTTGCAACAGAGAAAACACAATTTTTTTAAGGTCTGCTCTAGTCTCTTGCACTAGAAACCAGAATCCCATACAAGAAGCTACCTTTGTTAAGACCACTGCCAAACTGAGGAAGGAGGTGGGAAAAAGGTAAATTAAAAATTCCACAAAGTTTTTCCACCATTTTCAAGTTGCCTTTTTCTTGATTCAGCATTCACTTGATTGCTATAAGCCTTTGTTTTCTAGAGTTGTGACAAGTTGATTCTCATGGTTTTTGCCAAAATTTTCAGCCTTTTTTTGGAGTGTCCTGCCTTTGGAGCTGTCTAGTCTGACATTTTCACTGGTCATACTCAGTGAAGTGAATTTTTGAATACCACACTCCTGCCCAGGGCAAGCGTCATGGAGTGTGCATCTGGGAAACAGTCGAAACCTTTATTTCACAGACAAGAAGACAAATGTCCAAGTATGGAGCTGGTGGAATTGAAGCCTATTGACTCCCTGGCTTGTGGTTTTTCCACTAAATCCCAAAGTCCAGTTTTGGTGACTGCCCAGAAACATGTCCATAGCACTCAATGGGCATCCAGGCCCTTGCTGAAATGTTCCCATTGCCCACAAGGTTTGTCCTCCACTCACACTTAGTGACCTCTTCATCACATTACTTAGCAGAAATATGCTAATCTAGGAAGGAAGAGAATATCTCCTTTAAGCAGAGAAAATGTTTGGGACCACAGATGCTGCCAGGAAGCACTGATGATGGAGTAGCTTTGTGCTATATATCAGGTTGTCCAAACTCCCTTAAACTCAGTCTTCATCTATAAAATGTGAATCATAGTAATTCATGGCGTTCTATGTTTCACGGTTGTAGGGAAGAATTAATATAAAAGAAAAAAGAGAATTGACGTAAAGATGCTTTAATACTGTAAGGTTGGGGCGCCTGGGTGGCTCAGTTGGTTAAGTGACTGCCTTCGGCTCAGATCATGATCCTGGAGTCCCAGGATCGAGTCCCGCATCGGGCTCCCTGCTCGGCGGGGAGTCTGCTTCTCCCTCTGACCCTCCCCCCTCATGCTCTCTCTGTCTCTCATTCTCTCTCTCAAATAAATAAATAAAATCTTAAAAAAAAATAATACTGTAAGGTTGATGTGTGAGTATAGGAAATTATTGTCATATTTCATCATTTGGTCATAGTTTTCTCCCTCAGATATCTCTATGAGCATAGAGAATTACTTTATACGCACAATATAAAATGCTCCCCCAGAAGACAGAGACCATTTTTTCTTCATCTTATTTTTTTTTTTATGAAAACTGGACATTTTGGATATTATAATGTGGTAACTGTGGAAATGAGCTTCTTCCCCCTCCTTGAGATTTGTTTTGTTTTGTTTTGCTTGTCTTATATATGTCATATATATTGTCTTATATATGTCTTCAATACATGTTTTTAAATTTAATAATTTTTTTAAAATCTTGAAGGTCTACAATAGCTTCCCCGCTCTCCTTGATTATCTCCCAGGAAGTCATAATACAATGTATAAAAATTCTGTTTTTGTAAAAAATTACATTTTGGAGAAAATAAAAGAACACCAAGAATCCTTGGACATTAACAATCCTCGGGACTTCATTGATTATTTCCTGATGAAAATGGAACAGGTAAAATATTAATTATAGATCCGTTATTTGTTTGCCTGCATTTTTCTTGTTTACTGATTAGATCTGTACTTATGAGGATGTTTAAATTGTCAGGCAAGAAATGCTTGACTGACACTTAGGTACTTAGGTATGCATGGATTTGGATTAAGCATCATGGAGCATCATTCAATCTAGGATTGAATTGTTAAATAACTAGAATACGTGGAACCTATTTGTTAAGTTTCTACCTGAAGAGAAAGAGAATATACACTTTAGGGGAAATAAAAACACAGACAAGTTAGAAATTACAAAATATTGAGCCATACAATGAAGGTATATGTGATCAGGTCACAGCGTGTGGGAGAGTAAGGAGGAAAGGTTTAATCTAGCTGGGCTTCCTGCTTGTCCTGAGGGCTGATGTAGATCTTCAAATGTTTGCAATAAGGAATAGGGGAGGGAATTTCAGATTGGTAGAATGGTATGATGAGAAGTTCAGAAGTGCGTGTCAGCAAAGAGATTAGATGGGTGGAAAAGGGAAATCTTCACTGAATGTAACCAAAAATGAATTTGGACAGATACAGAGTTGGATGTTGGTGTCTGCCAAATAACTATAAGCCTGAATGTTGGCATGAAGAGTTTTGATTTGATCAGGTAGATGTATGAGCCAGAACAAGAGTGGGATGCAAATAATTATTGGGGAAAATTATCCTGGGAGTCCTGTAGAATGATCTGTATGATAAGATTTTTCTTATCTGTGAGATTTTTCATTTCTTGACTTTGGCTTGATGGAAGTCTGGACCATGGAAATACAGAGGATCCTGAAATAAAATCAAATTGTCCATCTTGTCACATCTCAGAGATCTATAGAGACTGGTTTTAGTTGGAGGAGAGGATAAGTAGGGACTGTATGGGAGATTTTAGTAATAAGAACAGATATCCTATTTGAGAAATTTAACCAAGGAGTGAAAGATTCAGATAGTAAATCTGAATAGTGAATTTGATGAGTGATGGGGTCAAGCTGGAAATCGTGTGACAAAAGTAATGTAATGCCATAAGGACACTTGTATAGAAGCAACATCCTCCTTGAACTGAGGAGAGGCAGAATCCAGAATGCATTGTAAAGACTAATTCTAGAGAAGGAAATTCCTTCATCTGAGGCCATCATTACTTTATCCAATCACTTTGTAGCTCTGGGCAGAAATGAGAAACCGATGAGTAGGCTAACATGGCAAGGAGTCAAAGGTGCTGATGAAGGTGACTGTCAAAGAATTGTCCCTGGATTTCAGCTGGACTGCTCAAATCATGTATTCTAGGTGGAATGAAGTGAGGAAGGTGGTGCAATGGTTTGAAGAAACTGGAAGAGGGAAGAAACAAATACTTCCATGCTCTGCTTTCTCTGCTATTAGGGCAATGATTTTTATCTTTCTGGTGATCAGCTGATTTGAGAATCTGATTAAAAGTATGGACACCTAGAGCATGCAACTCATTTTTTTTCCTTAGGATTTTATTTATTTATTTGTCAGAGAGAGAGAGTGAAAGAGAGCACAAGCAGGGGGAGCTGCAGGCAGAGGGAGAAGCACGCTCCCCACTGAGCAAGGAGCCTGGTGTGGCACTCGATCCCAGGACCCTGGGGTCATGACCTGAGCTGAAGGCAGATGCTTAACCAACTGAGCCACCCAGGCATCCCGAGCATGCAACTATTGATCTCAGGGCCATGAGTTTGAGCCCCACATTGGGTGTAGAGTTTACTTAATTCTTCTTTAATTTCTTGGTTGACCCATTCATTCTTTAGTAGGATGCTCTTTAGCCTCCATGTATTTGAGTTCTTTCCAGCTTTACTCTTGTGATTGAGTTCTAGTTTCAAAGCATTGTGGTCTGAAAATATGCAGAGAATGATCCCAATCTTTTGGTATCAGTTGAGACCTGATTTTGTGACCCGGGATGTGATCTATCCTGGAGAATGTTCCATGTACACTAGAGAAGAATGTGTATTCTGTTGTGTCAGGATGGAATGTTCTGAATATATCTGTGAAGTCCATCTGGTCCTATGTGTCATTTAAAGCCTTTATTTCCTTGTCGATCTTTTGCTTAGATGATCTACATTTCAGTGAGGAGGTTATTAAAGTCTCCTACTATTATTGTATTATTGTTGATGTGTTCTATGATTTTGTCATTAATTGGCTTATATAATTGGCTGCTCCCATGTTAGGGGCATCTTTTGCTTAGATGATCTGTCCATTTCAGTGGGGAGGATGTTAAAGTCCCCTACTATTATTGTATTATTGTTGATGTGTTTCTTTGATTTTGTCATTAATTGGCTTATATAATTAGCTGCTCCCATGTTAGGGGCATAGATATTTTAAATTGTTAGATCTTCTTGTTGGATAGACCCTTTAAGTATGATATAGTGTCCTTCCTCATGTCTTATTATAGTCTTTGGTTTAAAATCTAATTTGTCTGATATAAGGATTGCCACCCCAGCTTTCTTTTGATGTCCATTAGCATGGTAAATGGTTTTCCACCCCCTCACTTTCAATCTGAAGGTGTCTTTGGGTCTAAAATGAGTCTCTTGCAGACAGCATATCAATGGGTCTTGCTTTTTTATCCAATCTGATACCCTGTGTCTTTTGATTGGGTCATTTAGCCCATTTACATTCAGAGTGACTATTGAAAGATATGAATTTAGTGCCATTGTATTGCCTGTAAAGTGACTGTTTCTGTATACTGTCTCTGTTCCTTTCTGGTCTATGTTACTTTTGGGCTCTCTCTTTGCTTAGAGGACCCCGTTTAATATTTCTTGTAGGGCTGGTTTGGTGATCACAAATTCTTTTAGTTTCTATTTCTCCTGGAAGCTTTTTATCATAAATGACATCTTGTCTCGATAAAGTGTTTTTGGCTGCATATTTTTCTCATTTAGCACCCTGAATAGATCTTGCCCGTCCTTTCTGGCCTGCCAGGTCTCTGTAGAGAGGTCTGCTGCCAATTTAATGTTTCTACCATTGTAGGTTATAGACCTCTTGTCCCGAGCTGCTTTCAGGATTTTCTATTTGTCTCTGAGACTTGTAAGTTTTACTGTTAGATGTTGGGGTGTTGACCTATTTTTATTGATTTTGAGGGGGGTTCTCTGTGCCTCCTGGACTTGAATGCCTATTTCCTTCCCCAAATTAGGGAAGTTCTTCACTATAATTTGCTCCAATATACTTTCTGCTCCTCTTTCTCTTTCTTCTTCTGGGATCCCAATTATTCTAATATTCTATTATGGTATCACTTATCTCTCGAATTCTCCCCTCATGATCCAGTAGTTGTTTATCTCTCTTTTTCTCAGTTTCTTTATTCTCCATCATTTGGTCTTCTATATCACTAATTCTCTCTTCTGCCTCATTCATCCTAGTAGTTACAGCCTCCATTTTTTTTTTTAAAGATTTTATTTATTCATTTGAGACAGATACAGAGAAAGAGAGCATGAGCAAGGGGAGAGGCAGGGGGAGAGGGAGAAGCAGACTCCCTGCTGAGCTGGGAGCCCGACACAGGGCTCGATCCCAGGACCTGGAGATCATGACCTAAGCCGAAGGCAGATGCTCAACCATCTGAGCCACCAAGGCACCCCTGGAGCCTCCATTTATTAATGCACCTCATTAATAGCCTTTTTTATTTTGACTTGGTTAGATTTTAGTTCTTTCTATTTCTCCAGAAGGGGATTCTTTAGTATATTCTATGCTTTTTTCAAGCCCAGCTAGTATCTTTATAATCGTCATTCTTAACTCTGGTTCTGACATCTTACTAATGTCCGTATTGATTAGGTCCCTGGCAGTTGGTACTGCCTCTTGTTCTTTTTTTTGAGGTGAGTTTTTCTGTTTTGTCATTTTGTCCAGAGAAGAATAGATGAATTAGAGAACAAAATGCTAAAAGGGTAACAATGACCCCAGAAAAATATACACTAAACAAAGCAGAAGAGACCCGAAACCAGGGGGAAAAGAAAAGAAAAAAAAAAAAAAGAATATGATCAGGCTGGTTAATAGAACAGAGCCACCCACTAGATTTTGGGTGTATTTTGGTCTGTTAGAAGAAACTGCCTCCCAAAATTTTAAAGAAAGAAAAACTTTATATATATACACAAAAAATAAGGTTAAATACAGTGAAGGTATAGAATATGACTGTAAAAATGAAAATTAAAAAATATTTTTAAAAAGGAATTGGTAAGATAAGATGTTGGTTGAAAAAGGAAAGAAGAAAAATTTTTTAAAAATAGAAAAAAAAATTAAAAAAATTAACTTTGAAAGACTAAAGAATCATGGGAAAAAGCCATGAATTCTATGTGCTATATTCCCCTGGCCCTGGAGTTTTGCAGTTCTCACTGATCAGTAAACTTGGTCTTGGCTGGCTGTTCTTGCTGATCTTCTGGGGGAGGGGCCTGTTGCCGTGGTTCCCGAATGTCTTTGCCGGGGCTGGAATTGCCCCACCCTTGCCAGGGCTGGGCTAAGTAATCTGCTCAGGTTTGCTCTCGGGAGCTTTTGTTCCCTGCAAGCTTTCCATACAGCTTTGGAGGACAAGAGTGAAAATGGCGGCCTCCCAATCTCTGGCCCCAGAGGAACCAAGAACTCAGGGCCCCACTCCTCAGTGCGCCCCCAGAGAAAAGCAGTCAGTCACTCCCGTCTCCCCGGTCTCCAGCCGCACTCCATGCTCACCTGGCCTGTGACCAAGCATTTCTATCTCTGGCTCATGACCCCATTTGGAGTCTCCAAACCCAGCAGATTCCTGCGGTGTGCTCCCACGCTGCTCTGCCCAGGTGAGGAAGGGGGGTATCCCCGGATCTGCCGCTTGTTGGGTCCCTGCTGGAGGAGCAGTGGCCCGACTGTGCTGTGGATCACGGTTTATGGCCACCCCGAGCTGAGAGCCTGCACCTCGGCTCTGTCTTTGCAGCCGGCTTCCCCATTCCGATACTTGGGCGCTCTGCCGCACTCAGGCACCCCCGGTCTTTCTGTGACCCCGAGGGTCCTGATACCACACTGTCCCAGCGAGGGTTCCACCCCGTGCTTAGCCACTGAAGCGACATCCCTCAGTGGAGCCGACTTCTAAAAGTTCCGATTTTATGCTCTGTTGCTCTATCCCTTGCCGGTAGCAGCTGACGGAGGCCCCTCCCCCACCATCTATCTTCTGAATATCGCCTTGGATTCACTTCTCCACCTGTCCTACCTTCCAGAAAGTGGTCGCTTTTCTGTTCAGAGAGTTGCTGCTTTTCTTTTCTTTGATCTCCTGTTGAGTTTGTAGGTGTTCAGAATGGTTTGATAGCTAGCTAGCTGAATTCCTGGGACCAGACGAAATTTAGGTCTCCTACTCCTCCACCATCTTGCTCCTCCTCTGGGTGTAGAGTTTACTTAAAAAATAAAATAGTAGGTTACAATTTGAGCTGTTTTGTGGGCAAAATGTTATTCTGCTCTTTTTTTTTTTTTAAGATTTTATTTATTTGAAAGAGAGAGAGAGAGCACGATTGGGGGGAGGGGCAGAGGGAGAAGCAGACTCCCCACTGAGTGGGGAGCCCAGTGTGGGCTTGATCCTAGGAGCCTGGCATCATGATCTGAGCTGAAGGCAGATGCTTTCACTGACTGAGCCATTCAGGCACCCCTCTTTTTTTTTTTTTTTAATAATAGCTTTTTATGAGATTTTACCTTAATTTTCTGTTTATTTTTATGTGAAATTAGTTTTCTGGAACTTTTAAAGGGAATTGTGTGGTTTAGGAATATTTTTCTAACTTCATAGAGCTCCCTCTTTTGTTGTTTTTATGTAATATTAAAAAATGATGGTGGCTTGCCAACTCTGTTCCCCTCACACTTTTATTTAGATCAAAGACTTGCAAAAGTCACCTGTTTTTATAAATAAAGTTTTATTGAAACACACACAAAGTGTGGACACCTTCCCAGAAGAATGCACCTATATGAATGTTTTTGTATTTTGCACATATTGTGAGGGATTTCCTTAATGCTAGGAAGCTTCTCCAATGATCTTGGGCTCTGACATCTCTCATATATCAATTAACAGTATTTCCTTAATAGTATATTTAAAAACTGCATTGTTACTCTGGAATTCATTAGAGTATTTAGATTCTAGCTTGTTATTCCTTTTTTCTTGTTTTTAATATGTTCACTGAGTATAATTCACTTGCCACACCCTTCCCACATTTCAAGTATAATTCAGTAATTGTGTATTTACAGAGTTGTGCAACCACCACCACAATCCATTACCAAACGTTTTCATCACCCTCAAAAGAAGCCCCATAAGCTTGAGTAGTCATCTCCACTGTCCCCAAAGCCCTCCAGCTTTCAGGCATCACTACTGTACTTTGTCTCTATAGATTTGCTATTCTGGGTGTTTCATATTAATGGAATTATACAGTATGTGGTCTTTTGTTCTAGCTTCTTTCACTTCATTCCTCTACGTGCTTGAATGATATTCCAGAGTGGAAATACCATATTTTATATATCCACTCCTTGATTGATGGACATTTTGATTGTTTCTGGGTTTGGGCTTTTTTTTAAAGATTTTATTTATTTATTTGAGAGAGAGATTGAGAGAGCACAATCCAGGGGGAGAGGCAGAGGGAGAGGGAGAAGCAGGCTCCCTGCTGAGAAGGGCCCAATTCTGGGCTCGATCCCAGGACCCTGGGATCATGACCTGAACCAAAGGCAGATGCTTAACCCACTGAGCCACCCAGGCACCCCTGGCTTTTTGGCTCTTATGAATAACGCATCTATGGACATTTGTGTGCAAGTTTTTGTGTATACCTATGCTTTATTTATTTATTTATTTATTTATAAGATTTTATTTATTTATTTGACAGAGAGAGACACAGCGAGAGAGGGAACACAAGCAGGGGAGTGGGAGAGGGAGAAGCAGGCTCCCCATTGAGCAGAGAGCCTGATGTGGGGCTTGATCCCAGGACCCTGGGATCATGACCTGAGCCGAAGGCAGACGCTTAATGATTGAGCCACCCAGGCGCCCCTTGTGTATACCTATGTTTTAATTTCTCTTGGGTGTATACCTGGTGGTAGAATTGCTAGGTCATATGATAATTTTATATTTAATCTTGGGAGGAAGTATGGTGGATCAAAGACCTAAATGTAATATAAAACTCTTAGAAGAAAACTTAGGCATAAAATTGGCTAAAATTGATAAGCTATGTGTATGTAAACACTGATTCTTCAAATTCACTTCAACAGATAGAAATGCTAATAATGGGGGGCGCCTGGGTGGCTCAGTTGGTTAAGCAACTGTCTTCAGCTCAGGTCATGATCCTGGAGTCCCGGGATTGAGCCCCACATCGGGCTCCCTCCTCAGCAGGGAGTCTGCTTCTCCCTCTGACCCTCCCCCCTCTCATGTGCTCTCTCTCTCTCTCTCGTTCTCTCTCTTTCAAATAAATAAATAAATAAATCTTAAAAAAAAAAAAAAGAAATGCTAATAATGGTTTATAAGTGCCCTACTCTTTTTCCTGGCCTTAGAGTAATTTTGGGTTGGAAAGGTTAGAACAGTGTGTGACGTTGATGTTACCAGTGGGTCTAGCAAGTACAGCTATTGAGATTAAGCCTGTCTTAATGGAGTTGATGACATGTTAGGCATGCCACAGGTCACTTGGGGATTGTAAGAACCTTATTAAACTAATGTTGGCCTAGAGGACTGGATAGGAAGGTTTTGTTTTTGGTTTTGGTTGTTTTGTTTTGTTTTGTTTTGTATTTTAGTGACCTGCATAGTCAGTATTTCAAGTGGCCCCATTGTTTTCAATTTTGTGTCACTCTTACCTTAAACCAACTTTAGTTAGTTGTCCTTGTGAGGTGCTTTTATTCTCCCTACGTAAAATTTATGAGATCTCTATTCAGTCTCTTATTCTCAGCATTTGCCTTACTCCTACAGTCTCCTTCATCCCTTATGGGCAGTTAATGCCCAAACTTTCTGTCTTCATGTCTGTAATATTTCTTCTGTGTATCTGCATTAATTCCTGTACTTGTTTCCTAGACCAAACTGCCTCCTACCTTACATCTGGAATACCATAGCGGCTGGCCCCCATTTGTCTTTGTAAATCCATTCTCACTACAGTCTGTTCTAGGATGTGCTGCCATGTTAGCTTTTGCACATTTTCAACTTCATAATGAGTTTTTAGGCAATATAGAATCCACATAAATTCTATAACAGAAGAAGAGTATTGCAAACTCTTGATCCTGGCTTATACCATTTTTTAAGATACGGCCCTAATTTACTCATTTCTATCAGTTAGGATTGGTTTGCCTACCAACAAAAGAAAACCCAATTAACAATGTTTTAAAGAAATAGTGGGTTTATTTATCTCAGGTATAGAGAATCTCATGTTGGGCCGTCCAGGACTTGTACAGTAGCCCTGAAGTATCATGGACTCGGGTGCCTTCCATTTTTCTTTAGCATTATTACCGTGTAGGCTTCATGTTCATCATGTTTCAAGATGATGTCTACAGTGCCTCCACCAACATATCTGTGTAGACATGTAGTAAGAAAAAGGAAAGAAAGTGACATCAATAGGCCATTGGGGACACCTAGGTGGCTTAGTCAGTTAAGTAGCTGCCTTCAGGGATTGAGGGTCCTGGGATCTAGCCCCACATTGGACTCTTTGCTCAGTGCGGAGTCTGCTTCTTCCTCTCCCCTCTCCCCCCCCCCACTCATGTGCTCGCTCTCTCATGCTCTCTCTCAAATAAATAGATTAAAATCTTTAGGGAAAAAAATGGGCCATTGGTAAGAAATCGGTTGTTTGCCAGTGTAGTTGCAAAAGAGGCTAGGAAATGGAATTTGTAGGCAAGCAAGGGGTAAGGGAATAGGAAATGAAGATTGGGTCAACTAATCCATACAATTTGCCATGCCATACAATTGTTGTTATTTTAACACTGCACTCTCCAGTTTCTAAGTTTGATTAACTTTATAACATGTGTTATTTTAGATTTATTGTAATTACATATGCTGGCAAAGCAGCAAATAATTGCATCAAATAATTCCTAGGAAAAGTACAATGAGCAGTTGGAGTTTACTTCTGAAAACTTGATAAACACTGCAGCTGATTTGTTTGCAGCTGGGACAGGGACAACAAGCACCACCCTACGATATGGTCTTCTGATACTGCTGAAGCACCCAAAAGTCACAGGTATGGCCAGCATGGAGGGCAGGGTGTACTTCTGGACATATAACTGATGTTTATAATGATGTTGGAACACCTTCAAAGTGTTCATATAACCTGAATTGGCATGTAAATGTATATGCATTTGTTTCTTTTTTCATCAGTCTCATTTGTGTTTTATCAGCTAAAGTCCAGGAAGAGATTGACCATGTAATTGGCAGACACCAGACCCCTTGCATGCAAGACAGGAGCCGCATGCCCTACACGAATGCAGTATTGCATGAGATCCAGAGATACATTGACCTTGTCCCAAACAACCTGCTTCATGCAGTGACCTGTGACATTAAATTCAGAAACTATGTCATCCCCAAGGTAAGATGTGTCTCTCCTACACCTAATTTCAGTGCTCTTTAAGTTCTCATATTCACAGTATGGTTTCAATCCTCTACCAATATGGATGAGAGAATGCAAAAATCATACATGTGACAGCTTAAAGGATTTTGTGCTGTTTCCAGTTTGAGGCTATACATTTTTATGATAGGTTTTGATATCGGGCTGTGTAAGTCTTCCAAATTTGTTCTATTTCTTTAATATTGTTTTGGTTTCTCTTAGCTATTTACATTTCCAAATAAATTTTAGTATTAATTTGTCAGTTATCCAAAGCACTTGGCAATGGTTTTTATCAGGGTGATAGTAAATTAATTTGAAAACAAATGACATGTTGGAATGTTGAATCTTTCAGGGATATGGTATATTCTCCCAATTTATTTGGGCTTTCTTTAAATTTTTCAATATTGTTTTCAGTGCAGTGGCTTGTACATCTTTTAGGTTTTTCCTAGATAAATGATATTTTTTATGTTATTATAAATTGTATAATTTTTTTAAATGCCTTTTCTACTTTTTTGGTATATGGAAATATATTTGATTTTTTTATTTTGATGACTTTATATCTAACAACTTTTACAAATTCACTTACCATTATTAATAATTTATGGATTTATAATTTCCATGTACACAGTTCTGTGATCTGGTTTAATTTTTGTTTTAATAATTAATATTTAAACTTTACATTTCATATACTTACAATTAGCTTTAATTTAAATCTAAGTAACCATGGATCACTCAAGGCCACTGTATTGGATAGGACTGATCTAAGGTTTTTTCTGTAATACTTAAATCCTTATCTTAAAACCATCCTTAGTTCTGCAATACTAAAAATTTTAAAAATAAAAATAAGTTTGTGCCATTTCATTCGATGACCAAAACCTTACTTGAACTGAAATAAATCTATTTTTATTCCTTATTGAGGCCTCTTTATGTGACTATTCATGTTTTAATAAAGAAATATCAGTGTGGGGGCAACCTGCTGGCTCAGTCAATAGAGCTGCAACTCTTGATCTTGGGTTTGTAAATTTAAGCCCCACGTTGGGTGTAGAGATTACTTAAAATCTAAAAAAAAAAAAAAAAGTAGTATCAATGTATTTGATTATATGATACCACATTATTGGGAGTATTTTAAAATTTATGGTATATACATCATAATATTTTTCTAACAAGTCAAACAATTCTGAATTTGAAAATGCATTAGGCCCCAGGGGTTTCAGATGAAGGATTGTGTACTTAATCTTTCAAGAAGACAAATGTTCATATTTTATGGGCTAAAGTAGAAAAATAAGGAAAGGCTAAAATAGTCCTCCTACATATAACTTTGAAATGGTTGAAAAAACAGCTTTGAGGAGAGATAGTCCAGGATGGCGGAGGAGTAGGAGACCTTAGTTTCGTCTGGTCCCAGGAATTCAGCTAGATAGCTATAAAATCATTCTGAACACCTGTGAACTCAACCAGAGACCCAAAAGAATAGGTGCAACTCTACAAATAGAAAAGCAACCACTTTCTGCAAGAATGACAAGACAGAAAACCTCACATCAAAGAAGAGAACAAGAGGCAGTACTGACTGCCAGGGACCTAATCATTATGGACATAAGTAAGATGTCAGAACTAGAGTTCAGAATGGCAATTTAAAGATACTAGCAGGGCTTGAAAAAAGCATAGAAGACAGTAGAGAATCCCTTTCTAGAGAAAGAAAAGAACTAAAATCTATTCAAGTTGAAATCAAATAGGCTATTAATGAGATGCAATAAAAAAAATAGAGGCTCTGCTAGGATAAATGAAGCAGAAGAGAGAATTAGTGATATAGAAGACCAAATGATGGCGAATAAAGAAGCTGAGAAAAAGAGAGAGAAACAACTACTGGATCACGAGGGGAGAATTCAAGCACGAGGGGAGAATTCAAGCGATAAGTGATACCATAAAGCGAAACAATATTAGAATAATTGGGATCCCAGAAGAAGAGGAAAGGGGGAGAGAGAAAGAGAGAGAGGAGGGCAGAAGATATATTGGAGCAAATTATAGTGGAGAACTTCCCTAATCTGGGGAAGGAAACAGGCATTCAAGTCCAGGAGGCACAGAGAACCCCCCTCAAAATCAATAGAAATAGGTCAATATCCTGACATATGATAGTGAAACTTGCAAATCTCAGAGACAAAGAGTAAATCCTGAAAGCAGCTCGGGACAAGAGGTCTACAAGGGTAGAAACATTAGACTGGCAGCAGACCTCTCCACAGAGACCTGGCAGGCCAGAAAGGACTAGCATGATATATTCGGGGTGCTAAATTAGAAACTAAAAGAATTTGTGAGCACTAAACCAGGCCTGCAAGAAATATTAAATGTTAAAAGGGATCCTTTACACAAAGATAGAGCCCAAAAGTAACATAGGCCAGAAAGGAACAGAGACATTATACAGAAACAATAAGTTATACCAAATAAAATTCATATTTTTAAGGGTAAAGTCTAGTGAGTTTTGATCAATATATGATGTCACGTAACTAGCACTACAACTAAGATATAAAACATTTCTATCATCTCAAAAATTTCCCTCATTCTCCTTTTACAGTCAATCCACCTCCCCCAGTTTCAACCCTTGGTAACCAGTGATGTACTTTTGGTTCTATGGTTTTGCCTTTTAAAGAATGCAACATAATGGAATGTGACATAAAAGTAGTATAATTTGTAATCAGCATAAGCCTTTGTAATCAATATAATGTCTTTTTTATGTGGCGGAATGTGTTTGAGATTTATCTTTGTTATCACATGTACCATTAGTTTGTTGCTTGTTTTGATGAGTAGTTTTCATCATATCGAGAGCCACAAATTGTTTATCCATTCACTGATTGATGGATATTTGGGTTGTTTCCAGTTTTGGGCCATTTGAATAAAGGTGCTGTGAACATTTGCATACAGATTTTAGTGTGGACATAAATTTTGTTTTCTTTTGGGTCAGTGCTTTGCTTAACTGTTTATAAAAAACCATCAAACTGTTTTCTAAATGTGGCTGTGACATTTTACTTTCCCACTAGCAACGTATGAGAGTTCCAGTTGCTCTAGGCCCCCTCCACCACTTTCCCTGGTTGGTCTTTTTAAATTTTATTTTATTTTAATTTTAATTTTTTATTTATTTTTATTTTTTATTTTTTTTAAAGATTTTATTTATTTGAGAGAGAGAGAATTAGAGAGAGAGAACACATGAGAGGGGATAGGGTCAGAGGACGAAACAGACTCCCTGCCGAGCAGGGAGCCCGATGCGGGACTCGATCCAGGGACTCCAGGATCATGACCTGAGCTGAAGGCAGTCGCCTAACCAACTGAGCCACCCAGGCGCCCAATTTTTTATTTTTTTAAGATTTTATTTATTTATTTGAGAGACAGAGAATGAGAGAGAGAGCACGCATGAGAAGGGGTAGGGTCAGAGGGAGAAGCAGACTCCCCGACAAGCAGGGAGCCCAATGCGGGACTAGATCCTGAGACTCCAGGATCATGACCCGAGCGGAAGTCAGTCGCTTAACCAACTGAGCCACCCAGGCACCCCTTTTTAAATTTTAGATACTAGAAGGGGTTGTGTGGTGATACCACATTTTGTTTTACTTCTCTTTTCTGGATGGATAATGATGTTTCACTTCTTTTCATGTGCTGATTGACCACTCACATATATTCTTTGGTAGAGTGCTGAAATTATTATTCCTATTTTTTATTGGGTCATTTTCCTGATTTAATTATTGCAATCCTTTATATATTTTGCATGCAAGTCTTGTATCACATGTAGGTGTTGCTAACATTCACTCTCAATCTGTTGGGTTTTTTTTTTTTTTCTTTCCTTTCTTTAGCTTTCAAAGAATGTCTTTCAAAGGGCAGAAGTTTTGAATTTTGATGGAGTCCAATTTATCAATTTTTTTCTCTTTTGACTTGTGCTTTTGTGTCCTATCTGAAAAATTTGTTGCCAACACAAGTTCCCAAATACTTGCCCTTATGTTTTCTTCTACAAGTCTTATACTCTTAGCTTTTCTATTTAGGTCTGTGATCCATTTAAAGTTCATTTTTACTTATAGTGTGAAGTAGGAACTTTTTTTGTTGTTATGGATATCCACTTGTCCCAGCATAATTTACTGAAAATATACTAGCTTTTTCTTAAAGTAACATTTTCACATACTACTTGTCTTAAAATATATAAGGCAATTTTGAAAACAAAATTATAGACCTTAAATATGATAAACAGAGGATGGAATTTCCTTCCAATTTTTAATTTAAAAAGGTAAAAAATCTAAATAGCCTTTAAACACACACACACAATGACTATGTAATGTTTTATGTATATATAAATAATATATATGAAAATGTGTATACATCTAGATATTAAGTGCATATCTACCTATGTCCATCAATCTACCTCACTTCTAAATACTTCAGTATCTATCTTCTAAGAATGAGGGCTTCCTGCACAGCAATAACAGCATTCACACTCAAGGAATGATCATGTATACAATAATTTTATCTAACATATAGCCTGTAATTACATTTTTTCATGCATCCTAAGATACTCTTTAATAGCTTTTTTTGAGGGGGCATCTAGTAGCTAATCAAGGAATATGTATATAATTTGATTATCTGTCTCTTTAGGCCCTTTTTATAAAGAACATTTACGTTTCCTTTATTTGTTTCATTTCAATACACTGACAGTTTTGAAGAGTCCAGGACAGTTGTCATGTGGAATATTTCTCAGTCTGGTTTGGTGTGGTTTTTGTTTTCATTTTTGAGATTAGATTTCAATTCTGTGTTTTGGGGAAAAAAATTACATAGGTGATATCGTGTATGTCCCACTACATCACATTTTGGCTGGAGATGTGTAATATCAATTTATACCACTATTGGTGATGCTAAGGTACTGACTTATGAAGGAGGTATCTGCCATAATTCTCTGTTGTTGGGGTTCTATTTTTCATAGGTAATTAATAAAAAAATCTGTGGCATGGTACTTTAAGACCTTGTAAATATCTTGTTTCCCAAATCATTGATCCGACAGTTTTAGCATTAATTAATGATCTTTACTTGATAAAAATGATAAGTTTTTAAATTTTATTATTGGGGCATGTTTGTGTGTGTGTGTATCTATGTATAGCTAGGATTCATCTATAACAAAGAGTTCCTCCACATTTTTATTTTTATTTTTTTAAAGATTTTATTTATTTATTTATTTTAGAGAGACAGAGTGTGAGTGGGAAGAGTGGGGAGAGGGGAGAGGAGAGAGAGAGAATCTCAAGCAGACTACCTGCTGAGAGTGGAGCCCAATGCCGGGCTCAATCTCACCACCCTGGGATCATGACCTGAGCCTAAATCAAGAGTCAGATGCTTAACTGACTGAGCTACCTGGTGCCCGCCCCCGCACTAAAAGAAATTATTTGAGAGAGAGTGAGAGAGAGTGTGCAAGTGGGGGGGAGGATCAAAGGGAGAGGGACAAGCAGACTCCGTGCTGAGTATGGTACCCAACATGGTGCTCAATCCCACAACCCTGAGATCATGACCCAAGCCGAAACCAAAGTTGGACGTCCAACCAACCTAGCAACCCAGGTGCCACCCCTTTTGTAAATTAAGAGAAACAAATTGCATCCCAAAGATAAATACTCATTACTTGTTACTGTATTTGTCATATTGTCAAAGAAGTCATTTTTTTCTCTTGAGCAAATTTTCTTTTTTTTTTTATTTAAGATTTTATTTATTTATTTGAGAGAGAGAGAGAGAGAGCATGAGAAGGGAGAAGGTCAGAGGGAGAAGCATACTCCCTGCTGAGCTGGGAACCCGATGTGGGACTCGATCCTGGAACTCTGGGATCATGACCCGAGCCAAAGGCAGTCACTTAACCAACTGAGCCACCCAGGTGCCCCCAATTTTCCTTTTTTACTGTGGTAAAATATACAGAACATAAAAGTTACCATTTAGGTATTTTAAGTGCACAATTCAATGAAGCTTAGTACAGTCACTGTGTTGTGCAGCCATAGATACTGTCTAGTTCCAGAACATTTTCATCAGTCCAAAAGGAGATCCCTTACCCATCAAGCAGTCATTCCCCACTCCTCCCTCCCTCTCCCTCCCTCCCTCTCTCCAGCCCCTGACAACCACTAATCTGTTTCTGTCTGCATAGATTTACCAGTCATTTTTTTAAGTAACCTCTATGCCCAGTATGGGGTGTGAACGCACAACCTCAATATCAAAAGTCTCATGCTCTACTGACTGAGCCAGCCAGGTGCTCCACCAGAGTCATTTCAAACCAGATCAAACCTCTGTTTTTAAAAGCCCTAGGAACAGATTCCAAATACTCCTGACTTTTCAAGAGCCAACAAAGGCTTCCATTTTATTTATTTATTTATAAGATTTTTATTTATTTATTTATTTGAGAGAGAGAGCACGAGCAGGAGGAAGAGCAAAGGGAGAGGCAGAGGGAGAGAGAGGATCCCAAGCAGACTCTGTGGAGCCAGAAATGGGGTTCCATCTTACCACCCTGAGATCACAACCTGAGCCGAAACCAAGAGTGGGACACTCAACTGACTGAGCTACCCAGGCACCCCTAGACGCTTCCATTTTAAACCATAATCCACGTGAGATGTATGAAAACCGAAGCGATGAAATAGAGCAGGGAGTGAGACAGATACAAGTGTCCAAACACTGTGATTAGTGGAGGGGATTCAGACCCTATTGGAAGCCATATTAGCATCCTGACTAGCACTGGTCTTAATCTTATCCCGGTTTATTACTTGGTCTGTCTGGCTGGAAATGCCACTGTCCTTCTTTGGAAGGGATTCCTCACATAAATATCAAAAGATTGAACTAAGTGATTTTTTTTTTTTTAAGATTTTATTTATTTATTTGACAGAGAGAGACACGGCGAGAGAGGGAACACAAGCAGGGGGAGTGGGAGAGGGAGAAGCAGGCTTCCCACTGAGCAGGGAGCCCGATGTGGGGCTCGATCCCAGGATCCTGGGATCATGACCTGAGCCAAAGGCAGACGCTTAACGACTGAGCCACCCATGCGCCCCTGAACTAAGTGATTTGCCACATTTCTTCCAGCTCTACAACTTCTATAATTTATAACCCAGTTTATCTTCATCTGTTCATTCCAGGGCACAACCATATTAACATCACTGACTTCTGTGCTCCATGATGACCAAGAATTCCCCAACCCAGAGATATTTGACCCTGCCCACTTCCTGGATGATAGCGGCAACTTTAAGAAGAGTGACCATTTCGTGGCTTTCTCAGCAGGTAATAAAAATTAAATTCCTTAGGTGCTGAAGGGGACAAAATATTTTGGGGGGGATCAGTTGAAACCTACATTGTGCCTGCCCTGGGGTGGGTAGAATTGTTCTTTGTCCATGACCAAAAGCATCACTCCTAATGCCCATGCATTTTCCCCCACTCAGCATACATCGTTATTATTGGAACTTTGGCTGGGTGACCCAGTTTTTCCAAAGTGAGAAAGAGAATAGGTTCATTGAATTCTGCCTCTATATATATCACTAAGCTACCAAGAGCTTCTCTTAGCAGCAGCTGAAACTCATTTAGACTTTACTCACTGGCCATGAGAAAGGTATATAACTCCTCAACTTTGAGTTAAGTATCTTTTAAAAAAATTATTTATTTGAGAGAGAAAGAGAGAGAGAGGCACAAGCAAGGGAGTGGCAGAGCGAGAAGGAGAAGCAGGCTCCCTGCTGAGCAGGGTGGGGGTGGGGGATGGGGAGGGCAGGCAAAGGGACAAGCAGATTCCCACAGAGCCGGGAGCCTAATGCGGGGCTTGATCCCAGGACTCTGATGGGATCATGATGGGAGCTGAAGGCAGCCACTTAACTGACTGAGCCACCCAGGGCCCCCTGAGTTAAATGTCTTCTATGTGGGTCGCCTGGGTGGCTCAGTCGGTTAGGTGTCTGACTTTGGCTCAGGTCATGATCTAAGGGTCCTGGGATTAAGCCTTGCATCAAGCTCCCCACTCAGTGGGGACCTGCTTGTCCCTCTGCCCTCCCCTGCCTCCCGCTAGTATTCTCTCTCAAATAAATAAATACAATCTTAAAAAAAAAAATTATCTTCTATATGATATCCCTCACTCCCCAGAGTGAGCTCTGGGGTGACAGGCATCCACAAGCACAGCGTGGACACTAAAGGGGTAACACTCTAGTTAGGGAAGCAGATTAGTAAACAGATCATTAGACTAGTGTTGTGGGAGAGGAAAGCCCAGGCTGCTCAGGAGACAGAAGAGGAAGCTGCCTGCTTCCTGCTCACTCATACTCCACAGTGAGGCAGAGTTTATACTGGAATAAGCACATTCTAACAGCAGAAAAGGAATTTGAGCTGCCTCACAGGGGACAGGGAGTGGGGGAAAGAAGAGGGGGACGGGGTGCTTTTACAAAGTGGACCATAGGAGCAGGACATTTCTATAGATTGAGGAGGTCAGAACCTGCCAACTAACCACAGCATCAAGGAAACCTTGGGAAAGTGGCAGAATGCCCTGCAGTGGTTCCAAGGCACCTGATTGTCCTCCACTCAGGATCATGTATCTTGGATATTGCGTCTCCACATCTATAGTGTGTGCTGAGTCTCTGGCGATGGAGTCCCCTTCATTTATCTGATGGCTTTTGATGCCTGCTTTGGGTCTTGCACTGTACATACCAAGATGTCAAGGACTGAGCCTTCACTACACGGAATGCACATTTTAGCATGTTAGAAAAAGAAATAAACAGAAAACTATGATTCAAGGTGAGGATCTATGCTTTAATTGAAGAGTGAATAGATGCTGAGGAAACCCAGAGAAGGCAAGACTCTACTGCCAGAGGGGATCATAGGGATTATGGAGAGGAAATGACATGAGACTTAGGTCCTGAAAGAAGTACAAGAGAAGTGCACCTTAACCAAAGGAAACAGCATGAAATAAAGCTGGAAATGTCATGGTGTGTTGGAGATTGATGAAGATTGGGTATGGCTAGAACCGAGAGTAGAGGGTATGGAGGATGGAAGGAGGGATAGGGAACGTCAGACTGGGTACAGAATGTGGAGGGTCAGTTCCACCCATTTGACCTCACCTCATAGGACAGATCAGGGACACACTGAATATTTTAAAGTGAGAGAGTGACACATTTAGACATGTGCTTTTGAAATCACATGAAGGAAAAAAAATCTTTGACACAGATATATGAATTCCCTTCTCTTAGTCCTTCTTCCTCCAAAGCACTTGGACAAGTGGGTGTGTTTCTACAAAGATGTATGGAAACTGGAAATGAGAAGAGAGCAGTTGTAATGTGGAAATACATAATGAATGCTTGATGTAGGCCTGATACTCAATAGATATTTGTTGAATGAAGGGTTCCTGTCAAGACACTAGATGAATAGCAAGCATTTCCATCCTTCTATCCAGCTGCCCCTCTAACCTTCCTTCCAGCTCTCCATCAGTTCAGTCATTCATCAGATACTTCTTTTGGCATACTTCTTGTTGCAGTTCGAAACGTAGTGTTCAAGGAACAGATCCCTTGTGTTTGTTATTTTCAGGAAAACGAGTATGCGTGGGAGAAGGACTGGCCCGAATGGAGCTGTTTTTATTCCTGACCACCATTTTACAGAAATTTACCCTGAAATCTCTGGTTGACCCAAAGGACATTGATACCACCCCTATTGCCAGTGGGTTTGGCCATGTCCCACCCCCCTACCAGGTGTGCTTCATTCCCATGTGAGGAAGGGCAGACCATCTGCCTGCCCCTGTGCTGGTGTCTGTGACTCCTCCTCCTATGGGGCATCATTCACCTCCTTCTCACTGCTGGGGATACACTCTCTGACCTCATCTCCTACTTCCCCAGTCCCTTCATACCCAGTGAACATCCAACCTCCATTAAAGGAAAGTTTCCAGGGGCGCCTGGGTGGCTCAGCCAGTTTAATGTCTGCCTTCAGTTCAGGTCATGATCCTGGAGTCCTGTGACCGAGCCCCACTTTGGGCTCCCTGCTCAGCGGGGAGTCTGCTTCTCCCTCTCCTCCTCTCCGGCTTGTGCTCACTCTCTCGTTCGCTCACTCTCTCAAATAAATAAAATCTTTAAAAAAAAAAAAAAAGAGCAAAGTTTCCAGAATTTCATTGTACACATGCTGTGCTGTTGTTTATACTCTATAACACTTGTATTTGCCACCACATATACTTATCTAATATTGAGCTATTACCATGTTATCACCATGGAACAAAACCAAATGATTAGTATACGCTAACACACAGTCATTTGTCCTCTGCATGTTGTAAATGGAAAGCCTTATTATTTGCTGAGCCAGTTTTTAGACTTTCCTTCTTTTTTGCATAATACATGTAAGATATGGAAGAAAATAGAGTCCAAAGAGGCCACACCATGCTGTCCTCGTAATGATAAGCACAGAGAGGGGCAACGGGGGAGAGGGCAGGAAAGCTCTCTTGGCTCAGTGTCACCTACAGGTACTTGAGGTTTGGATTTAAAAGTGAGAAAAGTTGTGTCCAGGAGCCGTGTAATAGAATTTCAGCAATGGGGGTAAGGAATAATCCGTGTTAGAATTCATTTCTCTGCTTTGGTGTCACTTTGAACACCAAAGATTTGACATGTTGGTATGAGTTTGTTTCAAACTTAGAGTCAGGTATTAACGTATGCTTTCATATTGCTAATCAAATCTTCTAAGGGTCATTCTTTGCTCTCTGACCTAGAACAAAATCCCTGGGGCCATCACTAGATAGTCTTTTTTCTACTTTCCAGCACATTGTTTTATACCTAACACAAGTGTGATGGCTGTGTGATGCTATGATCCTAAAGTCTTTATCTAAAACATAGACAACTAGACATCTTATACCAGTCAAATAATTTCCATCATTTTTTTTCTTATGTGTTTAAGTGTATAAAATGAGCATCACCTACTACCTTCTGCCAGCTTATCTCCTAGAGAAAACTTTTTATACTTTGGCATGCATTTTTAAGATAACGTATGAGGATAGGTATACATAAACTAATATATGTCCAAAGTATATATTCACACATAATATATATTATATATACACATGAAATTAAAAATGATTCTTTACCTTTGGCCTCATAATAACACATAATATTCTACAACTTGCTGTTTTTCTACTATACAATATGCCATGGAAAATTCTAAATAATAAAAACATGGGCAAATGAATGGACAGATTACAGAAAAGGAAATGAAATGGTTCCTAAATACATGAAAAGATCTTAGAAATAAAAGGTACAAATTAGAACTGTATTATATTCCTTTAAACCTTGATTGGTATATGAAAAGATTTTAACAGAAGTATTAGCAAATGTGTGTGCCACACATTTGTGTGTGTGTTCTAAAGTTACCTTCTCTGTGAAGCCTACCCTGAGATTCTTTTTTTTAATTAATTAATTAATTTATTTGAGGGGGGGCCAGGGAGGGGCAGAGGGAGAGAGGAACTTTAGCAAACTGAACTCAGCAAGCGCCTGTCGCAGGGCTCGATCCCATGACCCTGAGATCACCACCCGAGCCAAAAACCACGAGTTGGATGGTCAACCAACTGCACCACCCAGGCGCCCCTACCCTGAGATTCTTATTGAAACTTGTAAACTCTTCTCCATCATCACATTCCCCATCCTTCACCTTCTGAATCTCCTTACAATGTGTTTGCCACTTCGCACATTTCATGTTAATTAACCTTGCTCATAAACCTAGGGGGTAGATAGTATTTGTATGAGTTTCCTAATGCTGCTATAACAAATGACCACCAAGTCAGTGGCTCAAAACAACACAGATTTACTACTTACTTATAATTCCGGAGTTCAAAAGTCCAATATCTGTGTTCGTGGGCTAAAATCAAGGTGCTGGCAAGGCTGCTTTCTTCTGAGGCTCTAGGAAAGGATCCATTTCCCTGCCTTTACAGCTTTGAGATGCTGCCAGCGTTCCTTGGCTCATGACTCTTTCCTCCCAACAGTCCCATCTTCTTGCTTATTTTCTTGTACTTATTCTAATCTTCCTGTCTCCCTCTCCTAAGGACTATGTGATTACATTTCGTCTACCTGGCTAATTTAGGATAACCTCCTCATTTTAAAATCCTGAAGAGGGGCACCTAGGTGGCTCAGTCAGTTAAGCATCTGACTTCAACTCAGGCCATGATCCGGGGATCCTGGGATGGAGCCGCACATTGGAGTCCCTGCTCAGTGGAGAGTCTGCTTCTTCCTCTCCCTCTACCCCTCCACCCACTCTCCCACCCCGGCTCATGCTCTCTCTCTCTCTCTCTCTCTGGCACATGTGTGCTCTCTCTTTCAAATAAATAAATAAAATCCTGAACTTAATCATATTTGCACAACTCCTCTGACCGTTTAAGGTATATAATCGGTTAAGTGTCTGCCTTCGGCTCAGGTCATGATCCCAGAGTCCTGGGATTGAGCCCCGCGTTGGGCTCCTTGCTCAGCAAAAAAAAATCATTTTTTTTTTTTTAAAGATTTTATTTATTTATTTGAGACAGAGAATGAGATAGAGCATGAGAGGGTCAGAGGGAGAAGCAGACTCCCTGCCGAGCAGGGAGCCCGATGTGGGACTCAATCCAGGGACTCCAGGATCATGACCTGAGCCGAAGGCAGTCGCTTAACCAACTGAGCCACCCAGGCGCCCAAAAATCATTTTTTTTTTTTTTGCTATTAACTCTCTTCCCCTACCCTCCTTCTAAAAAAGCCTTCCATTTTGTGTATCTCCTTAGAGAGTCATCTATTTGCTAGATGGGATGCTGCCTGATTCATAAATCATTTAATAAAGCCAATTAGATCTTCAAATTTATTCAGTTGAATTTTGTTTTTTTGTTTGTTTTTAAAGATTTTATTTATTTATTTGACAGAGAGAGACACAGCGAGAGAGGGAACACAAGCAGGGGGAGTGGGAGAGGGAGAAGCAGGCTCTCCTCTGAGCAGGGAGCCCGATGCGGGGCTCGATCCCAGGACCCTGGGATCATGACCTGAGCCGAAGGCAGACGCGCAGACGCTTAACGGCTGAGCCACCCAGGCGCCGCTGAATTTTGTTTTTTAACAAGGCTTATTAAACTGATCTTTTTTGAAGCGTTTCTTTAAAAAGAAACAGAAGCAAATCACACCCAGACTTCCCAGTAATTATTTTCCCTAAGATTATTAGATATAGGATACCCACATCTTATTTCTCAGCTCTATGAATATGGTCGCATTTGATGGTTAAGTTATGAGACTAATCTCATAGTAACTAGGTAGACTTCCAAAACTAGAAGTCTTTCTTCAATCATTTATAAAGATAATTTTATTAAAGATAATTTAAAAGACCTCTCGTATGGTGTTTGCAAAGAGCCAATTTCATCATTCAGGAATGTCTACTTCTATGATGTTCTAAATGAGGTAAAGCTAATTTAATGGTGCTAGAAACTAGAGCAGTGGGGTGCCTGGGTGGCTTAGTCGTTAAGCGTCTGCCTTCGGCTCAGGTCATGGTCCCAGGGTCCTGGGATCGATCCCCGCATCAGGCTCCCTGCTCAGAGGAGAGCCTGCTTCTCCCTGTCCCACTCCCCCTGCTTGTGTTCCCTCTCTCTGTGTCTCTCTCTGTCAAATAAATAAATAAAATCTTTATTTTTTTTATTTTATTTAAAATCTTAAAAAAAAAAAAAAGAAACCAGAGCAGTGGTTGCTTCTGAGGAGGGGGGATTGCTATGAAGGAATTTTCCACGGGGATGAGATTGTTCTATACCTTGATAGGATGTGGTTACTCAGGTGTTGGTGTTTGTCAAAACTGACTAAGCTGTAAACTCAGCTCTTACTGGAAGGCCCCAATGCCCCCAGATGAGCAAGATGTTTAAGGCCATTTCAAAAAGGGAAGGTGTTTCAAGTTCCAGAAAGTAAGCCTTTTCTTATATCTGTTCTGATCTAGTCTGACCCTATGCTTATAGTTGTCATTTTAAGACAGGAAACTGAAGGGACCTCATGAAAAAGAGCCATTTTTTTCCCCTTTGCAGCTTTTCCTGCTCGTATTCTTGCTAGGACCTGCACCCCCACCTTACACATATGCTTATGTTTGTCCTCCTTGTAAAGATCAAGGAGTTAGTGATTTCTTTGGAGTCGTCCAGCACAATAGGTAACATCTAAGGCGTGATGAGGTGGGGTTGTTCTCTAAAACCACTGACTCCACAAACACCATGATGCCAAGACCCCTGGCTTCAGGGACTGAGTGACTTATGAAGGACACCTGGACCCTGTCCTTGTTCTGACCAGTTTCTGGATGCCTGAGAGGACACGTGAACCACACCACAATCACCAATAAAAACCCCAGACCCCCAACACGGATGAGACTCCTTCCTTTCCTTTCTGAGTCTCCCAGACAGTCAGTGTGTCTATATCTGCTCTCTCTATATCTTCAGTAAACCCCCAATGGGCATTTTTAAATTTATTTATTTGACAGCGAGCACAAGCAGGGGGAGCGGCAGGCAGAGGAAGAAGCAGGCTCCCTGCAGAACAGAGAGCTTGTCGTTTTTTAACAGCATATTGTGGGCTATCCTACTTAAGAAAACTTTTGTTCAAGGCCAGCTTGCAGACAACAAATGAAATTCGAAAATGATAGTAGAATGATAAATACTTGTATAGTGCTACTATGTGCCAGGCACTGTTCCAAGCACTTTGCCCACACTAATCTCTCAATATAAATTATTACAAGGCCATCTGTGAAGGATAACTCCATGTCAGAATTTAAGTTACCAATCCAATATGGTTTTTTTCCCTTTAAAAATCAGAGCATATCAAATAACAGCATAATGATTCTCTAATAGCTTCTTTTACTTTTATGTATTTTAGGGAGTGATATAATACAGATTCGTGCTGTCTTTTGCCACATTTCTATAGTTATCAGTTACTTCTGATTTTTTCACTTTGTCTTCTGTGAATCTGTCCTTAGCTCTTATTTCTTTTAAAGAAATTGCCTTGGGGGGCCTCTGGGTGGCTCAGTCTGTTAAGCATCTGCCTTTGGCTCAGGTCATGATCCAGGGGTCCTGAGATGGAGCCCTGCATCAGGCTCCCTGCTCAACAGGGAGCCTGCTTCTCCCTCTCCTGTTCCCCCTACCCCCTGCTCGTACTCAAGTTCTCTGGTGTTCTCTCTCTCAAATAAATAAAATCTTTAAAAAAAAAAAAAAAAAGAAAGAAAGAAATTGCCTTGGAGCTGTATCACCGGTAAACCTCTCTGTTGAGGCCTCCAGCTAAGTTGGTTCTCTGCACCCACTGTCCCCTCCCATGACCTGTGTGATTACTGTGCCA